AGTTTAAAATCAATAATAGCATTCCTCTGCCTCAGCTATCCCCCTCCCCAGCTTTAATGTTTAGAAGCATCTGCCTTCTCTGCCTTTGACTCTTTCCACTGGCATTTTTTGACATATTTCTAAATGATGTGCCTTTAAGAGCTTTGCTCGATTTATCCATTTTGACATTTAATGTGAGCTTCCCATTGTGGTAGATGAGGATTTCACTTCCTTACACACTATCACCATCATCCAAAAACTCACCTCCCTCCTACTGTCTTCCCAGTATAGTTTTATCACAACTTCTGATCAAAGCATTATTATTTACATTATTATAACTATATGAATATTGGTCCCTGCCAATTCAGTTGATGTACTAATTTCATTTTTAAAAAAATTTTTTTAATGTTTGTTTATTTTTGAGAGAGACAGAGCACAAGTGGGGGAGGGGCAGAGAGAGAGGGAGATACAGAATCCGAAGCAGGCTCCAGGGTCTGAGCTGTCAGCACAGAGCCCAACACGGGGCTAGAACTCACGAACGGTGAGATCATGACCTGAGCCGAAGTTGGACGCTTAACTGACTGAGCCACCCAGGCTCCCTGATCTCATTTATTTTTTTTTTATTGTTGTTGTTTTTCTGGAGTTAATAATTTCTTTTTTTTTATTTGCTTAGTTTTTTTATGTACCTATGGCTGATTCCTTCCTCTTTTTCTAGCAGAGAGAGAGAGAGAGAGAGAGAGAGAGAGAGACCATAATTACATAATTTTTATTACACTACATTGTTATAAGTATTCTATTATTAGTTATTCTTGTTCATTTCTTGTGCCTAATTTATAAATTAATCTTTATCATGTATACATATACAGGTATGTCTCATGGTATATATAGGGAAAATCATGGTATATATAGGGTTTGGTACTAACTGGTTTCAGCATCCACTGGGGATCTTGGAACATATCCCCCATGGATAAGGGAGGGAGATTATTCAGATACTAGGGCTCGGATGGGTTGGGGTTGGGTAGGAAAGCGCTGAGGTCTCATCATTGTGTAAGACTTTCTCTTAAAGCCTTCATTTTCAACGAGCACCTCATCATCCTGACTTTCCATTGTGCCTAAACTTCCTGAGTTCAAAGCCTTTTGATTCAGTTTCACTAGAGAATAAGTTGTTGACTTCTGTGGTGATTGGAAAGGAGTAGTGCCCTAGCTACGTGAGTTGAGGTTGGGGACTTAGGCACTTGTTTTTTGTACAGATTATCATCTGATTCCTTGGTTATGCCTGTGTTTCTGTGGTATCAGCCTCTGGTTCTTTAGTTCTGTGAGTGGTCACATAGCTTGCTTTTTATTAGTATTCCCATCTGTAAGTAACTAGATTTCATTTTATAGTATCAGTTCATTGTTAAGAAAGAATGGAGATAAATACATTAAATTCACTGTATTTAATTAGAAGCTCCCATAAAACTTGTCTAGTTTTGGGGTGCCTGGGTGGTTCAGTCGGTTAGGCATCTGACTTCAACTCGGGTCATGATGTCATAGTTCGTGGGTTCAAGCCCCACATCAGGCTCTGTGCTGACAGCTCATAGCCTGGAATCTGCTTCGGATTCTGTGTCTCCCTCTCTCTCTGCCCCTCCCCCACTCTCACTCTATCTCTCTCTGTCTCTCAAAAATGAATAAATGTTAAAAATTTTTTTTAAAAACTTGCCTAGTTTTGAAATATTATTAATTGTTCATTCCCATCTTATCACCCGGCAGAGCTGGCAGAGTTGCCTTTGATACGGTTCGACTTCTCCTGCAATAAAATTACAACAATCCCCGTTTGTTATCGGAACCTCAGGCACCTACAGATGATCACCCTAGATAACAATCCACTACAGTCTCCTCCTGCACAGGTAAACTATAGTGGATTTGAAGGATGTTGTGAACTTTTTTGACAAAGGGTGAACTTAAAACTTGAAATTCTATGCATTTATCTTTTTTGTTGGAAATGAAGTTCTTTTAAAGTAAATTCACACACATAGGCATTCTTTAGAAGTCTTGAATAAATGGGATGGAGGACAGGTAATGTTTCCAGAATGTTTTTTTCCTTTCATTGAATTGACGTTTTTTTTTTTTAAGTTGAAGTGTTTTTCCTTAAAGTTTTTCTAATAAAATTTGAGTTAATTTCTTTCTAGTAAGACTTGAATGTAGCCAATGTAAATGCTAGACACAAATAAAAATATTTGGCTTTCAGAACTAAGGATTATCAGTACATTTCTTTTAAACATCATTTTTGTACCTTTTTATTTTCTAAAATCTTTAAGTTCCTCATTTAATCAATTTGGTCATTTGTTTATCAGTGGCTGATAATGAAACTAATAATAAAGTAATTATAAGGTAGTTTCATACATAGATTCCAGACATCCTATAATCTGAACAACTTTACCAGTGTGTATTTTTCACTATAGAGTTTGTACTCTACAGTTGATTCGTGGTCTTGTTCAAACCTCTGAATGGCAACTCTAAAGCTTTATGAGTAAACTTCATAACTGTAGAAGGATCTCATAATCCTAAAGAATTTATATTTTTACTTGTCAACGGAAATACAACCTTAATATTTAATCATTTCCTGCTTTTCTCTCTTACAGAAAGTAGGATTCAAAGCATAATTGTATATGATTGCTGGATTTCTAAAAGCAAAAGTTGCCAGTATAATCCATGGAGAGCAATGCTTTAAATTCCTGACTGTGCCTAACTAATCAGTGTGATAAGTTTACTTGGTATTCTAGCAGTATTTATAATCATAAGTTATTTATTTTATATGTTACTGAAACTTATTCATGACTAGAAACTAAAAATGTGTGTGTGTGTGTGTGTGTGTGTGTGTATATATATATCACATAAACACATAAAATAACAAATAATATGTTATAATGTAGTGTTAGATTTTTAATATCACTATATATGGTTGCTAGAAATACCTTCTATTTCTAATATACTTTAAATAAAAAGATGATTATGATTTTTAGAAAGGGATACATATATTTCAGATGAGTAATAATTTGGTTGCATTTATGTTATTTTTTTTAGATATGTATAAAAGGCAAAGTCCACATATTTAAGTACCTGAACATACAGGCTTGTAAGATTGCTCCAGATCTGCCAGATTATGATAGGAGACCCTTGGGTTTTGGCTCCTGGTGAGTATGTTCTATTTCTTTATTTAACATGTTCCATCTCACAGGGAATCAAACCGGACCATAAGTCTGCCTGAATGCTTAACTAAAAGGAAATAATCTATTTTGACACTTTTTCTCAGAATACTTGTATTAAGTAAACAGTTGATTACACAGATCTGACAAAGTGTAGTTCTAAGTCAGGGTTTCTCCATCTCAGTATTGTTGATATTTTGGGCAAGATAATTCTTTGTTGTGAGAAGCTGTCCCATAATTCAGAAGATGTTTATCAGTATTCCTGGCTTCTGTAGCACCCTCCCAAAGTGACAAACAAAAATATCTCCAGACATTGCCAAATATCCCCTGCAGGGGTTCCCAGTTGAAAACCAGTGATCTGAGTGACTGGAATGCTGACCTTGGCTCTGCTGTTAACTAGCTCTATGACTTAAAGCAAGTCATTCAGACTTTTGGGGCTTCATTTTTTTCAATAGGGAATGAAGAGTTTGGATTTGATGACCATTAATAATACTTTCAGTATCTTTTAGTCTGAATCCTTTGGCTACATAACACCTGATTTAGAAGGTTATCTCCTTGGCATTCTCAGCCATCTGGAACAATCTTAAGTAGCAGGAATTAAATTCAAAAAACCTTTAAACAGGCAAAATGGATGTCTCCATCAAGGCCTTATTCAAAAGAGATCCCCTCCAGCTTTCTCTTAGAACCTGTCGTGTTTTACATAAAAGCACAGTCCTGATGAGCTTGCTTCTCATATCCTTGTCTAAAACAGATTAACAAATTTCTGTTTGGGTAGAGTTTGTAAAAGCAGGCATATTAAAAGTACAAAAAGTAATTTGAAGGAAAAAATTAAACTTAAAAAGCGACACATGTTAAACAAAAGATTCAAGTTACTGGTTAACTCTAAGAGGAAGGAAGATTTGGTATGAAAGAGGCATCAAGGGGCTTTAAAGGTATTAATGTTCCATCCTGTTTTAAAAGTTATGTCTGTTATATTCTTTTTTTAATCAATATGATACATTGCATAATTTTAATAAGATACTTAAAAGCAAGACACACTAAAAACATAGCAACTTGACACCAGTAGGCATATATGCAAAGAACCCTCCATATTTCAGTGATATTTTGTAATTACTATGTTATAGCACAATACAATAATTGATGCTCATAAAGAAAATGCTAAAATATATTAGACATGTCATTTCCAATAAAGGAATATAGGCATTACAGTTTAAATTTTTTTTCATCAGAAATTATTGGAATTAAATATTTAAGTGTTGATGGTGTAAAGGAGTAATCTCAAGCTATCTGAAAATTCAGAACCTGATTTCTCAAGTAAATTAAGTATTACTCCAAAGGGACTTGATCCCTGCCCTTTGCCACAGATGGTGTCTTTCTTCTTTACCATTGTATCCCTAGTTTACCTGAGTGTTTGGCACAGACAGTAGACACTCAGCAAATATTTGTTGAAGGAATTAATAGTCCGTTTGGTCACACAGATGTTATTTCCCTCCTAACCTACCTCTGCTTAAAGTCATCAAAAACAACTTTATGGTGACATTCTGGGGTTTGTTTTTTTTTTTTTTTTTTTTTTTTTTTTTTTTTTTTGCTTTGGCTATTAGATTGAAGATTTACATAGACACTGTGAAGGATATTTAACATACTAGCTCTAATCTGGTTGTTTAAGCATACAGCAATACAAGTTTTAGTATACTTATTCAAACACACAGGAGAAATTAACCAATATCATATATACCCAGGAAAGATTTCCACAAGAATATCTTAGTTCTAACACTTTTAACTCTAAGAAGACTAAAAGCAGGTATGTGATGTCAAGGAAGACAGAAAAGGTTTTGACAGATGGTAGGGATTAGGTCTGGCATACTCTGTGCTAGTCTAGGCCTCTCTTGGAGGAAGGACTTTGACAGTGGGAAGAATATGAAGGGACCCAGACCATTATTGCCAAGAATTTTAAAATTTTCTCTATTCATTATATCCTTTTCTTTCTTCATTTCTTTTTCCTCCTACCTTGGTTAATTGCTTATAACATAGAACTCTCGTCATATTTATTGAAAAAAGTTTTGTTTTTCCTATTCAAGATTTTCATTAAATGTGTTCTAGTCCTGTACTCGTGAAAGATGTACAACAAATAGGGGCACCTGGGTGGCTGAGTCAGTTAAGCATCCAACTTCGGCTCAGGTCATGATCATATGGCTCGTGGATTCAAGCCCCGTGTCAGGCTTTGTGCTGACAGCTGGGAACCTGGAGTCTGCTTGGGATTCTGTGTCTCCCTCACTCTCTGCCCCTCTCCCACCTATGCTCGCTCTCTTGCTCTCTCTCTCTCTCTCTCAAAAATACATAAAACATTAAAAAAAATAATAAAGTTCGTAATTGCGGTTTAAAAAAGAATGGAAGGGAGGGAGGGAAAGAAAAATGTACAATAAATTAACGTAGCTTTTATTTTCCCCCGTGGTGTTAATAATCTTTGGTACGGAAAAATTTTCCTCTCCTGAACTAGTGAGTAGAAACATAAATTGCTACTGCTGCCTCTGAGATTGGAGTGTAAGGCAGTGAATGCTGTCTACTGGAGACCTGTACGTGAGGGTATGCCCAAAGACTAAGGAGGCAGCGTCCACATCTATCAGAATAATAAGCTTTGATTGAGGCCTGTAGTGCTAATTGCAGAACCTGTTTCTCTCAGCCATTCAGTTCTTAGTCTTGAGGACTAATTGATCTTGGGCTAATTTTTTTGTTTGGAGTTTTTAGAGGGAGAAAGAGCATGAGCATGGGAGAGGGGTACAAGGGGGCAGGGAGAGAGAAAGAAAGAGAGAGAATTCTAAGCAGGCTCTACGTTCTGCACAAAGCCCAACATAGGGCTCAATCCCACAACCCTGGGATCATGACCCAAGCTGAAATCAAGAGTCGGACGCCCAACCGACTGAGCCACCCAGGTGCCCCTAATTTTTTTTTAATAGAAGAATCCTCATTATAATACTTTAAAAACATTAAGCTTAGGGGCGCCTGGGTGGCGCAGTCGGTTAAGCGTCCGACTTCAGCCAGGTCACGATCTCGCGGTCCGTGAGTTCAAGCCCCGCGTGGGGCTCTGGGCTGATGGCTCAGAGCCTGGAGCCTGTTTCCGATTCTGTGTCTCCCTCTCTCTCTGCCCCTCCCCCGTTCATGCTCTGTCTCTCTCTGTCCCAAAAATAAATAAACGTTGAAAAAAAAAAAAATTAAAAAAAAAAAAAACAAAACATTAAGCTTATATATATTTAAAAAAACTGGCAAGAGACATGTATATTTGCAAAGAGATAAAAGGATTAAATCCATGGAAAAATGTATCCTAAATGGAAAGTCTAAATAGCATAATCATGTCATGTTTTTCCAAAGGATTGGTAATTATAGATCTGATATCTCCTAATCCCTATAATAACCCCTCATTATGCTCACTGAATTAATCTGTATTCTATATTTTCCATTTTTTCTAGGGGTATGTTACTTTGTAATTGTTTCAGAATGTCCTAGAAATTATTTTATATATATATATGAATACATATACATATATACATATGAATAAAATACCTCCTTCAACTTCTCGTGCAGCAGTGAATGGAACATTATACCTTCATGTCTCTTTTATTGAGGTAAAAATTAGTGAAACTGCATTGTAGTTAGCAGTACCTTTATTCAAATGCTGTCATGGAGTCAGAATGTCTATACTCTTGGGTACCTGTACTACTGGAAAGTTCTAGAGTTCACTTAACCCCTCTGGACTTCAGTTTCTTCAACATGATCTTTATTTACCCTGTTGATACCCTAACAGTAGTTCTGAGGATTGAATGACCTATTTCTGAAAGTGCTTGGCTGACCATAAAGTCTTCTGTAAATATTAGGCATTATAATTACTAGCTGTCTACTATGATCTAGGACTAGTTTCGTCCTAAGAGTCCGGTCTTGCTAAAGAGAATTTTTATTAATCCTGTAGCTCGTTAGGTATTCAGTACAAATTAGATGCTGTGGTACTTTTCAAATCCTTAGATGTAACTTTCTGACTACTTGTGTGTAATATAAAAACAGCACACAATCTTCCTTAAGTCATTTTATTTCTAGATGTAAGTATTTCCAACTCTTTTAGCAAGTTGCACTGTTATGATAACTTTTATGTTTTACAGAGTGGCACGTGTATTTTTCCTTAGTGATCTATAGTGACCTGTACTTTTTTGCTGAGATGATTTTCACCAACTTTATATTACAGACTAAACTTATTTATTTATTTATTTATTTATTTATGGTAATATGGCAGTGAGGAAAGACTAAGTTAAGCAGTAAGCAGGACTAAGAAAAGTCCTGCTTCTGCAGCCCCAGTAACAGGATTAATTCTCTCCAACAAGCCTGAGCTTGTTGTGAAAGCAATGATTGTCCTTTTTTCATACTCAATATTCTTAGCATCTAGAACACTGTGTCACATTCAGTAAATGTTTGGTGAACTAAACTCAAATGAAGCAGATGTAGTGACTTGTTATAACAGCAAATACTCTCTGAAGGTTATGTTCTTTATAGAAATAATAATAATAAACTTTTATTTAGTGCTTTATAATAGGATTTGTACAAATCCTTAGCTTATATTTTTTCAGTCTTTATGGCAAATCTATGAGGTAGGTGTTGTTAATCTTTCCCCCACCCCCCTTTAAGTGATGAGGAAACAAAAGTTGAGAGAAGTTAAGCAAGTTAATTAAAGTCACATAGCTAGTAAATGATGGTGCCAAGTTGCCAGTCCAGATCTGTTAAACTATAAAACTTGCTATGTTTTGTGCCCCTCTCTGCACTGTAGTGACTCACAGTTCACATTCCTGCTACAGAAGAGGCATTTCCACACTTGAGTCCATGTTGTTCTAGGTGGTTTATTAGGGAGATTGGGCTTTCTGACAGGGCATCACTGGAGCCTGGCTGGCAGAACTCTGCTAGGTCTCCTGAAGGCCATATTTATACATAGGGTGACCATGTATCTTGGTTTACTTGTGACTAAGGGTTTTCCTGGGACACAGGACTCAAAGTGCTAAAACCATGAAAATCCTGAGCCAACCTGAGAATTGGTAAACCTATATGTCTCACTTTAATCTTACCAGTTTAAGCTCTGAGCAAGAGCAAGTATGTGGAGAAGCTAAAGGTAGCAAATAAAGAAGAGAAAGAAAATGATAGCTTATTGCAAAGATTCTATTAATTCTCTTTATGAAAAATTTCTCAGTAATAGTAAGCATATCTCAGTTGGCCACTTGATAGAATATATATTATGTAGAACAATATCTTCTAGAAATCTGTATTTTTTTTTGAAAAAAATACATAGTGTTTTAAAATACTGTTCAGTAGGGGCGCTTGGGTGGCTCAGTTGGTTAAGCATCTGACTCTTGATTTCGGCTCAGGTCATAACCTCATGGTTCCTGAGATCAAGCCCTGTATTGGGCTGTGCACTGACAGGACACAGCCCGCTTGGGATTCTGTCTCTGCCTCTCTCTCTGCCTCTTTCCCTGTTCTCTCTCTCTTTCTCTCTCTCAAAATAAAGAAACTTAAAAAAAATTGGACAAAGACTTGAGTAGGTATTTAACAAAGAGAGATACACCAGTGATCACTAAGCACCCCAAAAAGTGTTCAACATCATTAATCATCACGGAAATGTAAATTACAGCACAAGACATCATTACACACTCACTAGAATGACTAAATTTAAACTGACAACAGTGGAGCACCTGAGTGGCTCAGTCAGTTAGGCATCCATCCCTCCATCTCGGCTCAGATCATGATTTCATGATTTGTGAGGTCAAGCCCCGCGTCAGGCTCTGTGCTGATAGCACGGGGCCTGCTTGGGATTCTCTCTCTCCCTGTCTCTCTGGCCTCTTCTCTCTCTCTTTCAAATTAAATAAACGTAAAAGAACTGACACCACCAAATGTTTATTGAGGATGTGGAGCAACCAGTGTTCTCATACGTTGCTTATAGAATTGTAAAAATGGGACATGTACTTTAACATAAGAATTTGGCAGATTTAACTGCTTTGTTGAGGTATAATATACAAATAATAAAATCTATCCATTTTAAGTGTGCGGTTCAGTGAATTTTGGCAAATGGATGCAGTCACGAAATTATCAACACAGTCAAGGTCTATAGCATTTCCATCAACCATTTTCCACTTTACAGTAGGTAACTCAACCCCAGGCAACTACTGCCCTGTGTTCTGTTGATACAGTTTTGCCTTTTCTAGAGTTTCATATAAATGGAATCAAGTATTATGTAGTGTTTGGTGTATGGCTTCTTAGCAAACTATTTTTGAGATTACTGATGTATTTTGGAATGGGCAAAAGAATGGACATTTCACAAAAAGAAGGTAAATGAATGGCCGACATGCACACAAAATGATACTCGATATCATTAGTCATTGGAGAGATACAAATTAAAACTGCAGTGAGATACCACTTTTCACCTACCATAATAGCTAAGATTAAAGATTGACAACACAAGTGTGGGCACGTGGAACTCAAATACGTTGCTGGGTGAATGCAAAATAATATAGCTCCTTTCAAAAACAGATTGGCAATGTTTTTAAAAAGTTAAGCCTACACATAACAAATAATTTATCCATTATATTTGAAGGTAAAACCGTCAAGAATTTCACTGACATGATGCTGAGCCAAAAAAAGCCAAATTAAAAAAATTACATATGATTCCATTTTTATGAGTTTTGGAATAAGTAAAACTAATTGTATTAATTTCTTATTGCTGCCATAATGAATTACCACAAATTTTGATTTTAAACACAAATTTATTATCTTACAGTTTTGTAGGTTCAAGGTCTAAATCTTGGTCTCATGAGGCTAAAATCAAAATACTGGCAGAACTTTGTTCTTCTCTGCAGGCTCTGAGTAAGATACATTTCCTTGCCTTTTTCAGCTTCTACAGAGAGGCTGTCTGCATTCCTTGACTCTTGACCGAGAGTAATCTTCAAGCCAGCATTGCATTACACTGGCCTCCTCTTCTGCCTCCCTCTTCTACTTTTAAGGACCCTTTTGATTACATTGAGCCCATTCAAATAATTCACAATAATCTCCCTATTTTAAGATCAGCTGATTAGCAGTTTTATTTTTATCTTCAATCTTAATTCCTCTTTGCCATGTAAAGTAACGTATTCATAGTTCCAGAGATTATGTCTTGGACATCTTTGGGGACTGTTACTCTGCCTTCCATACGAATTTAAGGTGAAAAAAAATTAGAATAGTGGTTATCTCTTAGGAGCACCCTGTAGCGTGGTGAGGGGAATTGACTGGTAAGGAATGAGTGGGAATCTTCTGGCAAAGTAGAAATGTCTTATATCATGAGAGAGGTGTATATTACAAAGATGTATTCATTTGTCAAGTATGTAGCTTAAGGTGTGTGCATTTCAGTGTATATGAATTTTACCTTAAAAAGTGCTGTTAAAAATAAGAATTGAGGGAGGCATGGTGAATGGGTTAGTAGCATGGAGGAAACAAGAATGGCAGTAGGTTGATATTTTTGAAGCTGGATGAGTGCTATTATATTCTTATACTGATATACATTATACTATTCTAATTGTTTTAATTTGGAATTTTTCATATTAAAAAGTTAAAAGAATTTCCATTTGGGGCACTTGGGTGGCTCCGTCGGTTGAGCGTCCGACTTCAGCTCAAGTCATGATCTCATGGTTTGTGGCTTTGAGCCCCACGTCAGCCTCTGTGCTGACAGCTCAGAGCCTGGAGCCTGCTTCAGATTCTGTGTCTCCCTCTGTCTCTGTTCATTCCCCGCTCCCTCCGTCTCTCTTGCTCTCACAAAAATAAACAAACATTAAAAAAAAAAAAAAAACTTTTAAAAGAATGCCGATTTAGTTCTAAGGAAGTTAAATCACTAACTGGCATGAGATAATGTTTATTAGTAAAATTGCATTCGGTTTATTTCAGATGTTAATTTTAAAACCTCAAACTTCCCAGTAACAGCCAGACTCTTTTTTGGCAGCCATGAAGAAATGTACTCAGGACGCCCTTATGGAGCCCTTGATTCAGGTTTCAATAGTGTGGACAGTGGTGATAAGAGATGGTCAGGAAATGAAGTAAGTGTTTCTTCTATTCTGCATGTTCTGACCCCTAAGAGGCAATAAAATGATGAAAATGGAAAGATTCTTAATTGAATTCAGTTTCTCATTATGTAAAATATAGAAAAGCCAAAAGAGAGGAAAAAAATCCCACAGAGAGCTACCATTCAGAAATGATATTTTGTTTCTTTGCTGTCTTTTTACCAAGTGTTTTACATGTTTGTTACTTCATTGTTTTGTATAAATAGCTTAGTATCCTGGAAAACCAAATAGGCTTAAAATCCGGCAAATCCAAATGAGCCAATTACAACTGAAGACTAAAATTTGCCAGACTGGGTAACCTTGAGCAGAGGTGGTAGAAGGGATGCTGAGAGATGAGAAAATAGGACTACAGGCTGATGGGTAATGAGGCAAGAACCTTAGTGAAGACTATTTACATGCTCAAGATAAATAATTTTCTTAGCTAATTATATCTTTTTTCTCCTGTGTTAAATTTTATTATGCTTTCCCTCTTTAAATTAAAAGGTAGAATATTTTAGCCTAAATTGGGCTAACTGATGAAATAAGCTTTTGTTAACAAGACTGATAACCTCCCATTTGTAACATTGTTTCACTCATCCCCAAACAAATCAACTTCAGACCACAGCCCATTTGTAATTTGGAATTACTTGTGTGTGAGTGGGTGTGTACATAATTATATCTGTATCCACACAGATATCTGTGTAGATACTTTAAATTCATGTTTATTTATAGTCATATATAATTTCTCATCTCTTTTTAATTGTAGTCGAATATACGTAACATAAAACGGACCATTTTAACCATTCTTAAGTATATTCATACTGTTGAAAAACAATCACCACCACCACTCCAGAACTTTTTTGCTGTTTCTTCTTAAATATAAATTTTAGTGAGCTTATGTTGTGTCCACACTTTAAATACTGTGTTGTTTAAAGTTTGAAATGTGTTTAAATGTTACTGCTATTTTTTTTAAGCCTACAGATGAATTTTCAGATCTGCCTCTTCGAGTAGCAGAAATTACTAAAGAACAAAGACTACGAAGAGAAAGCCAGTACCAGGAGAATCGCAGCAGTTTAGTAGTAACAAATGGTGGAGGTAGGCATGATTCCTTGTGACAGCCAAAGCCTTTGTAATTATTCCAATTTTTTAAGTGGTCTTTTTCACATCTACTCCTTTTGTTTGTGTATTCTCTCTGTGGTCATTATTTGACCACTTCCAGGAATTCAATTCGATGTGCTTCTTGACATCTACCTTTGCGTTCATCTGGAATTGTGTTCTTCAGGGGCATCTAAATCCAAGTTGTCTTTATTTTGGTATTTAAAAATTTATAATTGGAATTAATTTTTTTTAATTTGTCATTTTTTTAATAGCTCATTAACAGTAGAGCTATTTCTACTTTGGGCTTCTGAGGCAGACTCTTGATTTTAGCATTCTATTCAATCTTGCTTTAGTTTGAATTCCCAAATCCTAAGGTTTAAATATTGAGGGCCAGCTATAATGGAGATATTATTTTGGTTTTCTAGAAATCCATTTGTAAGAGCTTTCATCTTTTTTTTTAAGCTTTTATTTGAATTCCACTTAGTTAACATACAGTATTACTATTTGTTTTAGGTGTTCAGGTGTAGTTTTAGGTGTATAGTGTAGTAATTCAACACTTCCATATATCACCCTCTGCTCATCACGACAAGTGTACTTCTTAATCCCCAACACCTGTTTATCCCATCTCCCCCACCCACCTCCCCTCTGGTAACCATCAGTTTGTTCTCTGTAATTAAGAGTCTGTTTCTTAATTTCTATCTCTCTCTCTCCCCCTCCCCCCTTTTCCCTTTGTTTTGTTTCTTAAATTTCACATATGAGTGAAATCGTATGATATTTGTCTTTGGCTTTATTTTGCTTAGCATTATACTCTGCAGCTCTATCCATGTCATTGCAGATGGCAAGGTTTCATTCTTTTTTATAGCTGAATAATATTTGATTGTGTATATATACCACATCTCCTTTATCCATTCATCTGTCAGTGACACTTGGGCTGCTTCCGTATCTTGGCTATTGTAAATAATGCTGTAAACTATTGTAAATAATAACATAGAGAGGGAGCAAAAAATAAGACTGCTATAAACATAAACTGGGTACTGGTAAATACCCAGTAGTGCAGTTGCTGGATCATAGAGTAGTTCTATTTTTAACTTCTTGGGGAACCTTCGTCCTGTTTTCCACAGTGGCTGCACCAGTTTGCATTCCCACCAAGAGTGCACAAGTGTTCCTTTTTCTCCGCATTCTTACCAACATCTGTTGTTTCTTGTGTTGTTGTTTAGCCATTCTGCCAGGTGTGAGGTGATATCTCATTGTAGTTTTGATTTGCATTTTCCTGATGATAAGTGATGATGAGTATCTTTTCATGTGTCTGTTAGCCATCTGTATGTTTTCCTAAGAGCTTTCATCCTTGAATGATGATTTCAATTAAGTGGCTTGCTCTCTTTTTGTTTCCTTACCATTTTATATTCTTTTTTACTCCTGTTACTTACCATTCCACTCACATTTTAGTAGTTTTCTTTTTAATCTTGCTTCCACATGAGCTCTCTTTCCCTTTAGTTCATTTCAGACTTAAAATAATTTTTTTTTTAATCTATGCTGTCCAGTATGGTAGCCACTAGCTACATGTGGTTATTTGAAATAAGGCCTTTCTAAATTAAGATGTACTGTAAGTGTACATAAACCAATACAGATTGGATTATGAAGCCTTTGCATGAAAAAAAAAAGAATGTAAAATATCAGTAATACTTTCTATTGATTATATGCTGTAATAATACTTTAGATATATTGGACAAAGTAAAATATACTATTAAAACTAATATCACCTTTTTTAAATGTGGCTACTAGATAATTTTGAATTACTTATGTGGGTTCACTTTTATGGCTTGCATTCTGTTTCTTTTGGACTGCACTGGCCTAGGTAGTATGAAAAAGTGATGTTGCTTTCTTGGGAAGTAGTCATAATGACTTAATCATTGATTTAGTTACACAAATTGTAGCACATTGAAAAAAATACATTTATGTACCTGGTTTATAATTTGGATATAGACTTGTAACCTTTTCATCCTTTTACCTATTATTATAACTCTAATAACTCAAAATTCATTTTTATATCAATTGCAGTTATGGAATTATTTAGAAATAATTGAATCTGAAAACAGAAATAGCTTTCTCCGAGTTCATTATTCCCAGCAACTACAACTTTTGGGCAATCTATAGAAATAGAACATCATACAGTAATGGCTGGGATTTAGTTTCTGGAGAAACTTTAGAAAGTTTAGTAGTAAGTTTTTTTTTTCTAGTGTGCCATTTTAAATAGTTTTTAAAAGTAGTTACTTTTTGGGGTGCCTGGCTGGCTCAGTTGGTGGAGCATGCAACTCTTGATCTCAGGGTTATAGGTTTAAGCCCCACATTGAGTGTAGAGATTACTTAAAAATAAAATCTTTAAAATAAGGTTACTTTTTAAACTTAAAAATAATGGAGCACTCCCAAATGTATTAGAATATATAATGATGGGGCTATATCTTACTTAAATGCCTTTTCTCACCCCAAAGCATTTTGAGAAGCAAAAATTCTCGAATGATTGCTGCTACAAACTGCTACCAAATGTCTACATTGCTGAGCTCTAGAAGATAAATTTCTAAATAAGAACATCATTGTTCTAATTGTGGACAACAGTTACAGAAAGAGAAACAGTAGTCAGTATCTGTTTCTTTATCTCTAAGTTCACTTTCCTCCTATCCTTCCTTTTGACTTGACTGTGTTAGGTTTTCTGCCTCCCAGTTCCTTGAAGATATATAATTAAGCCCCAAAGCTAAAACGTGAGGGAAAAAATCTAAAAGAAGATGTAACTTCTCATGTTTAAAAATTCTTCTTCTCTTTGTCTCACAAACTCAAACTGTTTTGTTTAAGACAGTAAAGAGCTAACAAAAAAAAAAAATAATAATAAATAAATAAATAAATAAATAAATAAATAAATAAATAAATATTAAAAAAAATATATATATATATTAGAGGTTTGTAGTCCTGTAATTACTATCAATTACTGTATTCTTTAGTGAATTAGGACTAAGATTTTTCTGGAACTTATTTTTGTGAGTGGCCATGGACTGTAAAAGAAAGGCTTACCTAATTTGCACTTCTCATTCCTCCTGCTTTCAGAGTAGAAGGTGTTAGGGAAAAAGAAAGCATACAACTGAATGTCTTTATTGGCTATTGAATTTGACTGTTGTGTGTGTGTGGTGTGGACAGTGGAACATGATCTGGATCAGATCGACTACATCGACAGCTGTACTGCAGAGGAGGAAGAAGATGAGATGAGACAGCCCAAGGGCCTGGACTCAGACAGCCTCAGTTCCCAGTTTATGGCATATATTGAACAACGGCGAATCTCTCATGAGGTACTACACACATTTAAGCCAAAATCTGTTGCTGTCCCCTAGTAAAACAGTTCATGGTGGCATAAATTTCAGTTGTATCAGTGATTTGTTGCTTTAAGCCTAATTATTTATTTTATGATGTTCAGTTCCAATTTCATGAATTTTTCAGATTTGTAAAAAATCAGACAATAGTCTGAAGTAGGGGTTAGCTTTATTTTTCAATAAAAAGACAGATTTCAGAATTTTGAAGAATGAGGAGTCCTAAGAGTATCCTACACCTTTAAAGAAAGTACAAAGAATGTAATGTTTTTTCTTTGTTGTTCTTAGTGCTTTTTTATTGTTACTAACTAGTAAATCATAGTTTGATCAGTAATTAAGAATCAAACCAAACTGCTGACTTTGGAGCACATACAAACTTAACCATAGAATTTTTGTAATGTGCTTAATTGTATTGGAGCTTTTATACCAAGTCGCACAGAATATAAATTGTTTGCCATTATCGTTCTTGGGTGTCTCTTCTAGTGGAGCATTGAGTTGCCCTAGAAAACAAATAAGCATTCAGCCCACTGTAGAATCTCTGCCAATCCCCCAAGGGTCTCAGTGGAAATTGCATTCTTCAGTGTATCTAGTCAGCATAATGGAATGGCTCCACTTCAGTGTGTGTGATGTTAATGTCTGGAGTTGGTCCCAGGCTCTGAGCAGGGGTTATTTGAGAAACACTTGGGGCCTTTTTAGAGAATGATGTATTTAGCCTTTTAGAAATCGAGAATAATCACTCAAGTGGGGTGTGCTGTGGAGTGATATTATCATTCTTTAAAAAAAATCCTTCAGTCTTCCTGTCTGAAGACTTCTGAACATAGTAGTTTTGTTGGTGTTCAGAAGACACTCTTGTATGTGAAGTTGGATAAAATTGTGTAAATCAAAGTCCTGCAGCCCAGAAATAGCAGTGTACCAGGTGACTAATGAAACTACGTGTGATTCAGGCCATGAACATTCTTGTTAGTGCGAAGGGCAACTGCTTTGCAAAAAAATTAAAATTAATAATGCACATTGTAATCTTAAAGGGAATTGTTTTTCTTTCATTGTGGTCTTTCTCTTTGATCATTTTATGGTAGTTAGACTGCAGAGATGAGGTATCTCTATTAAAAGTAAAAATGCCTGTTATACTACTGAAAAATTGTAGTATCATTTGTTAAAGCCATTACTATTTTGTAAAATTTTTTTTTAATTCCAGCTATACTTGTGTGGTAGTCTTTATGATTCTATGTCATAACCCTCTTTATGACTTCTGTGTCATAAGGTTTTCTACAATTTAGCACCTATAAAAATATGATGAAGCAGCATTATTTTAGATGGTTTAACAGCCAGTGAAGAAGTATTTTTTATATTCTTGAATACTATCGGAAAAAAGAGTTGTTAAAAAAAACTGAATCTATATGAGATTTTAAATACTCTGCTATTGTTTAATTTTGTTATAATACCTCTCACAAATATAGAGGTATTATGATAAAATAAAGTATAGCTTATATTTATAGGGTATGACATTTTCAAAATGAAACCAATGGCACATTCATTTTATCATGAAAATTTCATGTACCTCCTACAATAATTGCAGATAATTGCAGTATTGTAAAACCAGAGTGTTAAGTCACTGATGTTAACATAATAGGAGAGATTTTTGTTTATTTTAAAAACCAATGTTCACTGAAATTAGAAGAATTATTCTTTGATCAGGGTTCTAGAATTATATCTCATTTTGTATGATCCTCAGGCCTAAACTTTAAGGGAGTCTGCTTTAGCCTTTTGCAGTAACTCATCAAAGATTTTCTAATTCTATGTGATGTACCCATTTCTTGGAGATAGACTATAAATAATTTTACATTTGATTTTCAGATACCGTTTTTGGATAAGGTGGTTTTCTTTCCCTTTAAGAATACCCACTTTAATGATTATTTTTGGTGTTGAAATAAGATTGTATTGCTTCTATAGATTCTTATTTGACAGAATACATGTTGTGATAACCTATAATCCTTTACCTTTGATGTGGTCCATATCACTGAGTCCAGTTTAATTTTTCTCAGTGATTTTTTTTTGAAATGACCTTTACCCTTTAGTTTATAAATAAATTAAGTTGCCAATGTTTTTCTTTTAGTTAACACCATATCTTACCATAAAGAGAAGTTACTTTTTGCTTTATCTTAATATTCCACCAATATCCGCAGGACTATTTGTATGACTAAACGTAAGTAACAATTTGTGATGATGAAGTAAAGAAATGGAATCTGCCCAGTGAACTCCCCCTTACCAGAAATATTGAGAGAGGCTGAGCACAGGTTAGTGTAGTGCAGGTTGAAATTCCTGTTCTGAATGGAAATTTGTCTGAGGTGACACCTAAGATCTTCTCAAGTTCGAACACCTTACTAAATATTACTCTATGGTCAGTGAGTATTACTGTATGGTCAGTGTAATTTACATAATACAGGGAGAAGGAAACCCACTTTTTTAAGAATAAGTGTTTTTGGGCTATACATAGTGTTTTGTTAACGAAAGCAGTAACACAGCTTATAATGAATGCTTTTAAACGTAAAAATTTACATTTGAAGATTTTGTTGAACTATTTTTTAGTGTAATATACAGATCTTTAAATGCCAAGTCATCTGTGAACTATGTAGTCACCGTGTTGTGGATACATATGTTAAATTGATTTATTTCTGCTCTTTTGGCCTAGGGTTCACCCATAAAGCCAGTACCTCTGAGGGAGTTTCAAAAAACAGAAGACATGAGAAGATATTCACATCAAAACAGGTTTGAAAAAAACAGTTCTCTTCAATTGTTTCTGTCTTTAAAACTCATCAGTGAGAGCATGAAATGATTTTGGTTTTGTGCAGATTTGTGTATGATGAAGATACTTAGATACTGTGTGTTTTAGAAACCATGTATTTAGAGCCGAGTGACAGTGTGCTTTTTGTTCATGCAATAGAAAAAGAAGTAAAATTGATTTATTGATTCTAAATTCAGACTGCCTAAACCATTACTTGTACAATTATTTGGTTTGAAGGTACTTAATAGCAGGGAGATTTTGTGGTGATGTCTGGATTTATGCACTAAGAGGGCTAAATGAATTTCAGGAGTCCTGAAAAAATTTTTTGCCTTAAACTTTTGGCTAGAAACAGGGAGCTAGACGGAGACAGCAATATGTATCCTCATTATATCTCAATTGAGATGATCGTTTCACTACGCTTAGTGCCTCACAAAATATTTCTAAAATTAACTTGACTGCTTAGAGCACTGCTGCTTATTCTTGAATTCCAGAGTTTCTTGCCAGACTCTGTATCACAGTAGTTGAAAAATTCACAGCCTTTGGGTCTTTGCTTCCTCTATTTTGTATGAAGTTTTTTGTGTTTTTTTTTAACCACTTTGTGTTTGCTTGGGTTTTTTTGTAATTTTTTTATTTTTGAGAGAGAGAGAGAGAGACTGCAAGCCAGGGAGAGGGGCAGAGGGAGAGAAAGAGAGAGAGAGACAGACAGACAGACAGACACACACAAAGAGAAAGAGAATCCCAAGCAGATTCCACACTCAGCTCAAAGCCCGATGTGGGGCTCAATCCCACAAACTGTGAGATTATGACCTGAGCCAAAATCAAGACTCAGATGCTTAACCATCCAGGCACCCCTGTATGAAGTCTTAAAGTAGTAAACTTGACATACTTGTTCTTAAACAACAGTAAATCTCCTTTATGGAAAGTGTCATACCTAGTTCTTTACTTATACTTGATAGGATGTTAAAGTTGTTTTGGGAACTGAGATATAGATGGATAGAAAATATGGGAGAATAGTGAAAGAAAGAACTCTCATAATTGGCCTTTTATAGTCTCATAGGTGTTAGTTCATGGGGACTTAGTTAAATTTCATATCTTTTTTTTTTTTAATGTTTATTTATTTATTTTGAGAGAGAGAGAGCGAGCGAGCTGTGAGTGCAGAGTCTGACATAGGTCTTGATCTCACCAACCGTGAGATCTTGGCCTGAGCCAAAATCAGGAGTCAGACGCTTAACTGACTGAGCCACGCAGGTGCCCCTAAATTTCAAATCTTTGAAATTGAAATTTATCTCCGAAAGGCTTTTTATTTGCCTTGTGTCCTTATATTGAGGGTGTGGTCTTTTGAGATTTCAGTTTCACACGGGGGTATCCTATTGTGTTTTTCCACTTTGATCAGGCCCACACTTCATCTCCTGTCCTTCTTACCTCCTGCATCTATCATAAAGAAGGCTCAAGATCTCTGGAATTTAGTAGAAGCCCTCAAGGTGAAAGCCAGCTTTTTTTTTTTTCTCAGTTTCATTATGTATTAGTTTTTTAATGTTTATGCAACAAATTACCACAAATTTAGCAGCTTAAAATGTAGTAACTCAGTTCTGTGGAATAGCAGTCTGGGTAGGCTTGCCTTCATTCTCCACTTAGGGTCTGGCAAGCCAAAGCCAATGTACTGGGTGGCCTAGATTCTTACCTAGAGACACTGGGGGAGAACCCACTTGCAGGCTCATCCAGGTTGTTGGCAGAATTCAGTTCTGTCTAGTTATAAGACTGAGGTCCCTGTTGCTTTGCTGGCTATCACTGGGACTCAGTTTTAGCTCCTGGAGTCTACCCAAGGTCCTTGATCCACAGCTCCCTCCATCTTCAAGTCAGCTTTGGCAAGCTGTTTTGAATCTATTTCTTACCACATTTTGGATCTCTTTGATTTCCCTTTTTGTCACATCCCACAAACTTTCCTGCCTTCTTTTTTTTTTTCCAGTTTTATTGAGAAATAATTGACATATGTCACTGTATATAGGCTGTACAGAGTGATGGTTTGATTTACATATATTGTGAAATGATTACAGTAGGTTTAGTTAATAGCTATCATCTCATAGATACAATAAAAAATAATTTGTTTTCACCTTGTGATGAGAACTCTTAGGGTTTACTCTCTTAACAACTGTCGTATGTATCAGCAGCAGGGCTAACTGTAGTCATTATGTTGTATGTTACATCCCTAATTACTTATTTGTCTTATAGCTGGCAGTTTGTAGCTTTGACCACCTCCCTCCAATGCCCCTCCCTCAGCCCTGCTCTCTTGTGCTTTTAAGGGTTCCTGTGATTACATTACTCCCACTTGGATAATCTTTCCATTTTAAGGTCAACCAGTTAGTACCCTTAATTTCATTTGCAGAGTCCTTTTTGACTTGTAACATATTTACTGGAGTAACACCAGGGGTGGAGATCATAGGAGCCAAAAATCTGTCTACTAAACCTTAACCCAGAGTTCCTGTTTTTACTACTTTTTAGAAATTTTTGCTCTGCCAGTACTGAGGAATTCTTCGCTTACCTGAGCCTGTGCTTTCAGACCTAGTAGTTTTCCATTTATATTCACAGCCATCCACTAGCAAGTGACAAACCCTGGATTCGAACTCGGTCACAACTAATTCTAAAGTCCATGCCTTTAACTACGATACCATGTTGCTACTCCCAGACTCACTTGTGTCTCATTCTTTATTGGTTATATCCCAGCTAAATCTTACCCCACCAGCCCACTTTTCTCTAAACTTTTGACTAAGAATGTACTGACTAGGAGTGATAAAGGTTGGGAAAGATTAGTAAAAATTGAAGGAAGTTTTTTGCCCAGCTTCAGTTTTATTTTAAACCTTGCCTAAGGGAGTTATTGAGTAATTTATTCTGTACCTTTAAAAAATTATGGGGCACCTAGGTGGTCCAGTTGGTTAAGCGTCAGACTTCAACTCAGGTCATGATCTCGCGGTTCGCAGGTTGGAGACCCACGTTGGGCTCTGTGCTGACAGCTCAGAGCCTGGAGCCTGCTTCAGATCCTGTGTCTCCTTCTCTCTCTCTGCTCCTCCCCTGCTCGCACTCTGTCTCTCTCTCTCTCTCTCTCATAAATAAATAAACATTAAAAAAAATTTTTTTAATTATAATTTATTCTGTCAAAACTTTTTTGGGGGTATTTTAATTATTTTAATAAAGTAAGAAATATGGCCAGACTCTTGAGGTTATATAAAACAATTTTTTTTCCAAAACATTTTTTTATGCATTAAAATTAAAAAAAAGAATTTTGTGAATTATTCAAAGATTTGGAACCAACATAAGAAAAGAAATGTGGAAAGAAAGAGAACAGTAGTGTGACTTAAATTTTGCTTTTTTACATATTATATTTTTTAGTTTAGGAAAGTTTAGGGTAAGCCAGTGTTTCTCAATAGGTTGTAGTGGATATTTGAAAAATGTGTTTATTTGTTGGGACTTGGTTGCCAAAGGTGTTACTGGCATTAAGACTAAACTACCTGTAACGTACAGGACAATCTCGTATAACAGAAAATTTATCCAAAATGTTGTGACACTGCTATTGAGAAACATACTCATAGATGAAAAGGTCAGATGTACAAATGAAGCAGCGTGGTGGCACCAAGGAGCACCCAAGCCATGAGGGGCCCATATTAGCACCTGGTGATCGGCTTGAGGGAGCTGTCAGTTCTCAGACGCCTTCTTCGCTACCACTTTTATTCTCTCATATGCCATGCTTCATGCTCTGCCACCATCTTTAACTTTCACAGCTTAGTTTTGGCCATTGCAGGTCCTTTTTTTCTGTATGTGTGTCCATATTGCTTTTAGATCTCTGTGCTCTTCACTTTCTCCTTCCTACATTCTGCCGCTGTAGAGTGGGGAGGTGTGGTATAGTATCAGCCACTAATCTCCAAGTCAGGTGGCTTGAATTCTCATCCAGGCTCTGCCTACAGTAACCATCACTAAACCTCTGAGGGCCTCAGATTTCTCCTTTGTAAAGTTAGTGGTTTGGACTCCATGATTTCTCAGGCCTCTCCAGTTCTCATAGGCTGCGTACCTAGAAGATGAGAGAGCAAACTACCATCAAGTCAGAGATAAGAATTCAAATCAGATAAGTAAGGACTACTGGCTGCATCACCTTGGAAAAGTTACTTAACTTCCATTTCTCAGCTTCCCAAATATAGAGTGAAGATTCTAATAGTTCTTACTCCATAAGATTGCATGAGGAGTAATTGAGAAACACTATGCATAAAGTACTTCACAGGGCATATGTAGGGCATGGTAGGAGCTCAAGGATTGTTCGTTTCTATGTTCGCATCTGAAAAATATTGTACAAAAAAATGACACGAATCATAAAACTACTAGAGCTTTGAGGGATTTGGGGGACTTTTTTTTTCTTATCTTGCCTTGTAACACACCGATCGAATGCATTAAAATCAACCTGACGGGCAAGTAATCATAGTTTAAACTTTTAGGTGCTAAATGTCAAAAAGCAACTTATTCCCAACATTGTTAGTTCAGAGACACAAATGAGTAGCAGACACTTGAAACACTAAATCCAATTCAGGAAAAAAGATAAACACCAAATTGTAAGATTTAGCATTGGTAGAGGCACCCGGCTGGCTCAGTTGGTAGAACATGCAATTCCTGATCTCAGGGTTGTGAGTTTTGAGCCCCACTTTGGGTATAGAAATTACTTAAAAATAAATAAATAAATAAAATCCTTGAAAAAAAGATTTAGCACTGATAAAACTGAGAAGCAACTTTTACTGTTTTTTTTTTTTTTTTTTTTAAGCAACAAATCAGGTTTCGTCTTTTTCTTAAAAATAAAAATCAACAGAATCTTTACTTTTGTTATTAAAATTGCTACCTCGGTTGAAGATGGGAGGAGGAGCGCAGGTACAGTGGCCAGGTTCTGCCATATTCCAGATTTTGGTTGATAAAATAACTTTGTATATAAAACGATCTCTATTTACATGTATCTTGTTTCAGCCATGGTAATGAAAAAGATAATAGTTATGTATGCTCTTAAGAAATGATGCTATTTGAAAAGTGATCTCAAATGTCTGGTCAGCACTGGCTGACATAGATTGTTGTTGACTCTCTGTAGCTTGATCAGTGATATCATCACATGAAATGTGAGTTGGCGACATCAGGTATTCCTGTAGCTTAATTTAATGACTTGGGCTCAGGTTTACAAAATGCAGTCAGTCTTTCATTGCTGACCAGTTTGCCTATTGATTAATAGAAAGCTACATTAACAATAAAATTTTACTTGTCTTTTATATACTGCCTGCCTTACCAAAGAATTTTCTCTTTCCTTTTTTTCTTTTTTGGGTCAGGGTTTCATCTGAGCCATCTTCTCTCATGTCACTGTCACCAAGTCACAGTCAGGTAAATTTGTTGTTGTTGTTGCTGTTTTTCTGTTTTAGTTTTGATTTTTTTTAAACTAAAATGATTTTCTATTTTTATAATGCTTAAATTACCATTAATTGCCAGACATCTGTAAACTTTACTACCTGTCGCCTGTAAAATACAGTTAATGTAACATGTGAACCTGATACTTGGCTAACGGTGCTTTTAGACCCTAGACAGAAAATAAATCTTTACTGACATGATGGCTTTATAGTGCAAATAAGAACACAGTGTGAAAAGATGGGAGATGATCAGCAGTACACACATTTAAAGAAATGTTAGGTGACTGCAAAGTAGAAATTGCTTGAGTAAGTAGTAGTTCCCTAAATTGATTAAGAATATTGATAAGTTAACCTTTAGCCCCACTTGCACATGCAAAATACTTTTGTTCCAGTTATCACATGCAGACTTGGAAATTCTTCGGAGAAGAGAACAATTAGTAGAGCGTACTCGGAGAGAGGCACAGCTTGCGGCCCTACAGTATGAGGAAGAGAAAATAAGGACCAAGCAAATTCAAAGAGATGCTGTCCTGGACTTTGTCAAGGTGAAATTTTGTCAAATTTCATTGAAATTCCTAAAGAGTTTTAGAAGTAAGTGCTTATTTGTTTTGCTGAGGCTGTCAGTGTTTGTCTTAAAGTGTCAACATTCTTTTTTCTCACTGTAAGGAATCTTGAGTATATAGCATAACTGTCTCCTGCTTGTGATTAGATGAATTGTCCTCCTGTAGGGTAGGCTGAGAAGTGATCATCTTGTACTTGAGACAGTAGTCTCTTCTTCTTAATTAGCAATCTATCTTTAGACATCTCACTTTACTCTCCACCTGCCATGTCTTCAGTCTGTTAATAAAGATCGATAAGATCACGAAAGTGCCAGTGCCATGTAAACCTTAAAGTGCCATGCAGATGTGAACTATTGTTATCTGAGCCCATCTGACTTCCTCACTCTGGTGAGCACCAAAACTGTGTGAGGGTCACAGGCTTAATACTTTAGAATCATCTTTGATTCTTTCCTTTCTGTTCTCTCCACACCTACTCGGGTAGCAACCCCTGTTAATACTTTTTCTTTCTTTTTTTGTTTTTTAAAAGTTTGCAGCCTCTACAGTTCATCTAAACCTGGTTCTTTTTTTTTTTGCCTGTATCATTTAGAGTCTTTTTGTTTGGAAGTCACCTTGGATTTTTCTCTTCATAATAGTGATTTCTATTTTTGTTTGTTCGATATCTGTCTCTTCCATTTATCTGTAAATACCATGAAGACCGGGAGTGTATCTGTCTTATTTGCCGCTCCATCCCTAGATGTTAGCAGGTGTCAGCCCATAGTAAAGTTCAGTAAAGATTTGTTAACGGAATGATTGAATGAATGAATCATTCTTGGCCTCCAAAAGCTTTCTCTCTTGTGTTTCAACTAGCCAAAGACCATTTTCTTTAAGTATCGTACACATGATAAAATTCTCTTTTTTTCAAATGTATCAAGCCCATGATGATGATCTCTAAAGCTCAGAGAGGATGACAGTTTGCCTAGGTTAAATACTCACCTAGTTAGTGGCAGAGCAAGGGTTCTCAAGACAGGCTGAACAGAAAATGGAAGTAAGGTTGACCAAAAATGAAAAGTTTCTTTAAAGAAAAAAGAAGGCTGGCTCCAAACCCTCATCTGTGATCAGAATGCTATACTGACTGTCAGTAAATAATGATGGCTGACACATACCATATCCTAAGCACTATTCTGTGCATTCTACATTAACTCATTTATCATTTAACTTGCCTTCTGTAGACATCACATAGCTAGTAAGAGATAATCACATTGTAGACAGTTTTGATTAAATGTCAAATAAGAGTTTGATCTTGATCTGTTAGGTAGAAGAGAACAGTTGTAAGTTCTTAAGCAGGAGAAAAACATGAGAGGAAAGATACTTCCTAAAAACTAATCTGCTTGTGTTTGAATCTGTTAGAAAGCGATGAGGAAAATGAAATAGTAATTGCAAGTCAGACTAGGGTGCAGAATGAAGGCATAACACCAGAAGATTTCTGAGGTTCCTAAGGAGAGGCAGTGTTACACAATGGTAAGAGCCCAGATATTTCTGAGGGCACTTGGGTGGCTCAGTCGGTTAAGTGTCTGACTCTTGATTTCAGCTCAGGTCATGCTCTCAGCGGTTCATGCATTTGAGCCCCACGTCAGGTTCTGTGCACTGACAGTGCAGAGCCTGCTTGAGATTCTCTCCCTCTCTCCCTCCCCCTTCTTCTCCCCTGCTTGCTCGCTCGCTCTCTCTCTCTCTCTCTCTCTCAAAAATAAGTAAATAGGGGCGGCCTGGATGGTTCAGTCAGTTCAGCATCCAGCTCTTGGATTTTGGCTCAGGTCATGATCTCACAGTTCATGAGTTTGAGCCCCACATTGGGTTCTACACTGATGGTGTGGAGCTTGCTTGGGATTCTGTCTCTCCTCCTCTCTGCCCCTCGCCTGCTGTGCTCGCTCGCTCTCTCTCTCAAAATAAATAAACCTAAAAAAATCTAAAAAAATAAGTAAATAAACTTAAAAAAAAAGAATCAGAAATATGAATTTGAATCCAGCTTTGCTACTCATTATGTGCTTGGCTTTGGGAAAGTTACTGAATCATACTGTGCCTTTAGTTTCCTCATAGGTGTAGTATTTAACTATTAAATATTAACTATTTCAGAATTCTTATAGGTGCACCTAGTACTTCTACTAGTGTGCTGAGTGCTGTGCCCCCTACCACCACAATGGATTTTATAAATTAGAGATTTTAAGAGAGACATTATTATGTTTTATACATAGATGTAGTGAATGTTGAATAAATCATTGAAGAAGAGTAGGAAAATAAAGGAGATCCCAAAGCAAGATTTTGAGGCTAAAAGAAGAGTTTGAAAAGGAGTCTAGTTTTGTGGAAAGAATGTAGGATTTGGAGTCAGAAGATATAGGGGCAAATCTCATTTATGCTACTTACAAATTTATGGACTTTGCACATGTCATATAACTTCTTTTGTCCCCAGTTCTTTTGTCCTTAAATGAATATGATTATGGGGGTGCCTGGGTGGCTCAGTCAGTTAAGCGTCCGACTTCAGCTCAGGTCATGATCTCACAGTTTATGAGTTCAAGCCTCACAATGGGCTCTGCTCACAGCTCAGAGCCTGGAGCCTGCTTCCGATTCTGTGTCTCCACCTCTCTCTCTCTGTCCCTCTCCTGCTCTCTCTCTCTCTGTCCCAAAAATAAATAAACATTTAAAAATTTTTAAAAAGAATATGATTATGATGTTTGTGTATCTTAGAGAGTAAAAAGAATCACTTGAGATAATGTATATAAGAATACATTGTAAAACACTGACTCTACAGGTGGTATAATTATTATTTGACATAGTAATAGAAATTAGCAAATTGGGGAAAAGAGCCAGTTAATCTGGGAATTTATGAGTTTGTTTTTGAACATGAGGTGACCATGGGTTTCCAAATAGAGAGTTTCCACAGGCAGTTGAAAACGCAAACCTGAAAATTGGCCGATGAGAGAAAGCTAAAGGTGTTAGCACTAGAGAAAGAGAGCATGAGTTCATTGAGAGAATATAGTGAGAGATCACTATTCTGATTGGGACTATGTTTGTTTGCATGTACATATAAAAAACATGCTTTTTGTATTTTTGTAGATGCTTATAGACATATGAAATACTGTCTGTTAGTTTATTGATCTTCCTTGTTTAAATTGTAAACTGTTTAAGGGAAAGGGTGACATCTTCCGACCAGTAAATCTGGCAAAGTGCTGCACACAAGAGAGACAGAAATTAATGTGGGTGATTATTTTGGTAAATAGAATTTATCATTTCCAGTGTTTCAGATTCTAACCAACTTCCCTCTTTTGGGGGGTCTTGGGGATATATAGCACAAAGCATCACAAAGTCCACAAAAACAACAATCCCCCTTAGATGGTGAGGTAAGTCTATATAACCACCTTTCCTTTGGAATTTTTTATTACAATGGAAATGAAATGTTTGCATGTGATTATCATGTGTTTTCAGTGATCAAAATATTGCCATTTTCCTTTTCTCCTCACAAAATTCTACTTACTCAGGAGAAGAAGACACGGGCCAGGGAGTTTATCCAAGTTTATAGATCAAGGATTTTTTAGTCTATACGAATCCATCTGGAGGTTATTTCTTTCTTTCTTCCATCCCCACCAGAAGTATCTTCTCCTTCATCCATTTTCAAACCATACTGTGTAGTGAGAAGTCATCCTGGGAGCTCTATCTGGCACTGGTACATGGTGTTGGTATTGAACAAAAAGATACCACATATATCTCAGCTCCAGGGCTCATATTCCTGAGTGTGTGTGTTATTGATTACACGGTGTACACAGTAGTTTTATAATATTAAATAGTACATTTTCATTACAAGTTAACATGTAAAATTAATTGCTTAACCTTTTTTAAAATATACCTATTTTGATCTGTTAAAATGTAACTTATTAAATAAGTATTTGTATTGTAGTCGGTTTTTAAAGCCATTTTTCTTTATATTTTGCCTTCTCATGTTTTCAGTTTATGATCACCGCTTCCTTAAAAATGCTTAAAGGCATTGTTTCATGTGAATTTTGAATCTGTTTTCTGTAAAATAAATTATGTGAAAACCTAACACACAGGGTTTGACAAGCATTAAGTTTCACCATAGAGTTTTTAAAGCACAAGTGATTCTGGAATGTAAAATGCATTGTTTGAAATGTTTTAAATGATCCATTATAAAGTTTTTTTTCCTTATTGACTAGACATACGATTACTGCTTCTTGTTTATCTCAGAATTTAGGCCTTGTTCTTATACCTGAAAGATTCACTCAGCCTTTTCAGTCATCTTTTGTTCACATGGTAATAATAAAGGAACAAACCTTTGACAAAGTTTGATAAGTTAATAACCTCTTCTTTTCTTACCCCCAAATTTCCTTCTTAATGATCATTCTGGAGAAATTCATTATTTAAAACTTAAAGCTTCTCAGGAAAATATGGTGTACAATTTTTAAATTTCTAGTTGTCCTCTTGTCTGAGAAAGGTAATGAAGAGATGCATAGGCTAGAAATCATGACTCTTGGGTTTATTGTTTTAATTTGTGACTAACTCATTAAATAACCACAAATTCTTTGTTACTGCTATGCCTATACTTCAGCTTTCTCTTCTGTGAATAGAGAATAATCCCTGTTCCCTCCTTGCTTTAGTCAGTTTTTAAGCAATCAGATCATATTTGGAATTAAGCTGTTTGGAAGAAAATCATTACTCAGAATCAATTTATTAGCTTTTATGATACATGAATTCAAAATGATTGTGAATGCAATCCTATATGTTAGCATCTTCATTATGTCTTAATATACCTCTTTGCTTGTGTTATTTGTGAAATATGTCACGTGTGTGCATCGTTTGTTTTTGACATTGCTTCCTTTCTCTCTGCCTCTCCAGTGTCCCTTCCCATCCAGAAGGTCTCAGCACACTGATGATAGTGCCTTGTTAGTGGTAAGAGCCTTGCACAAAACGGAGTTATATATTGTTATATCTAGAGTTTGGAGAATAGTAATTACACTTTTCATTCAGAAATTATCTACGTACCATAAAACATGATGAGCGTCATTACTAAATACTTTATAAATAGCTAGAACTGTTTCCCTGCTTTACTGTTCATGACTTACCAGCGTTCCAGTGTTCTGCAGCTATGATTCACATACCTTTGTTAGTGTTTCCAAAAGTAAAACATTCACACTGCAAACCATATTGGCTTTGGATGTGGGTTGGGAGGAGAGGACACATTACTTTTTTAGACGTCATTTCTAATTCTAGGTGCACTTACTTTATTAATCATTAATTTGGCTCATGAGTCACCTGTGTGTTAAATGGATTTCCTTCCTGCATGACACTAATTACACAACTGTATATTTGCCATCCTATTTTATTGTCTATATTAAGCTACTGAAAATCCCAAACTTTTCAAAAATACTTATGTCTCAAGATTATCCCTCTATGCCCATTTTTTAAACTTTGGGAAACATTAACTCGGAATGTTATCTACTGATCGTTTTATAACACAGTTTACTTTTATTGCCTGTTTCTTCAGCAGAAAATGAGTATAACATAAGAGCAGTATTGAAAAATCTTACTTTTGTCAGCCTTGCAAGAGAATTCTAACATTCACATAATTGCTTTCCCCATCATGTTTTATGATATTTTTAATAGTAGTATTGAAAACTAGCAGTTCAAAAGTCTGTGTGTAGCAATTCCTGTCTCATGTGCTGGTAACTGCTGCCCTTGTACATACTCCTGCGTGAAGTGCATACTTCAGCAGGAGGTCCTTCTTACCTAAACGTCCATTGTCAAAATTTCTGTATGTTCTGCAGTTATCATTTCCTTTGAGATGGATAAAGCACATTTTAACTGGGCAGTCTTACAGGTAAATAAAACCACCACCTTCTGGAGTTTTTGTGGAAATTAATTGATACGAGAAGCAAATGATCTAAATTAATGGAAAAAAATACTGAGAGCCTGTGATGATCCAGACACTTTACCAGAATTATCTCATTTATTCCTCACAGCGATCTTAAAAGTTAAGGTTAAACTGATCACCATCTTACAAATGATTACCGAGGCACAGATATTTTGTCCAGAATGAGATTTGTCCGAGGTCACATAGCTAGTAAGTGCAAGATTGGGTTCAAATCCAGATCTGGCTGACTTGAGAACCTACTATTTATTAAGCACCATAGTATATTGCCTCTCACACTATAATGGAAAGCAATTTAGGAGACTGAAGATGAGATTTAATAATGTATAGGAAGTGACATAAGTCTGAGTGGCCACACTTCTTTGTCAAGGAAAAAGTGGAATTTGGAAAAACAGATCCCCTTGGTGTGAAATTTGAAATGTCTTTCAGCCATTTTCAAAACACATACCCTTGTATTTTACTTATCAATATTCATGTTTGACCTAAATGAGATGGCCTTTAAAAGGACAGTGTCTCACATATTTTTGTATGCCAAATAGTATCCAACACTTTGCAGAAAGAGTTGTATTTTTAAATCATACCTCTGCTTTTCTCAAGACTTCTCTTCAGTAGCTTCATATGGTAGAATAAAGTCCTTCTTAACACAGCCTGCAAGCCCCTGCATACTCTCTCTCATCTCTGGGCTCAGGGCTCATTCTGCACCAGCATTTTTTCAGCTTTTCAAATACAGCAAGCCTGTTTCTACCTCACAACCTTTTGCACATGCTATTTCCCTCAGCACGGAATGCCTCTCCCTCCCTGTATATTACTCCTTGGTTAATTTCTACTCATCTATCAAGTATCTGCTTAAATGTTAGATCTTTAAAAATGACTCTTCTGTAGCCTACAACCCCCAAATCAAATTTGTCTCCACTGTTATTTTTTCTCTTCATAGTTCATTTAGGTGGATGTTTATTGTTTTAGGTCTCTTCCCTATTAGACTACCAGACTCTAAACTTCATGGGCACAGGGATAATCTCTGTTGCATTTACCTATGTATACTCAGTTCCTGTCATCGTTCCTGGGATATATTAAGTGCTCAATAAATATTTCCTGAATGAACACATAAATGCTATGCATCTGAAAATGCTCATTAAATTGTTTCATGATGAAAAGGTCTGATGATGTATAGCAAGGTGTAAATGTTGGATTTCATTTAAAGACCTTGAAATACAAGATCTGAAATAAGTATTAGTGATGTTTAATATCCATGACACTAACATTCTCTTAGGGCTGCCCTCCAGGCTTCTGTTGTTTTCATCTACATCCAATCCGCATCTGTATCTCTAGAAACTAGAGAGTATCTAGGCTCATTTCGCATCCTCTTCTTTTCCACTTTTTTTGTCCTCCTTTGCCAAAATAGTTGCTTTTAGCCTTTTTATGTTTGAGATTGACAGTAATTTCTGTACATTTGGTTATAAGGAGGCCCAGGAAAACTGAAGAGGTGACGATATGACTGTTGTCACAATCTTGTTCTTTGGTATATTTCCTTTGATAGATTAGGTTACAATGTTACTTTAAAAAAAATTTTTTTGCCCACCCTCCCCAAAAAGAAACATTGCTATCTATCAACTGTCATTAAAAATTGTTGTATTCGTTTTATTGATCATCTACACACGTTTTTCTAAACACCCACATGTGCTTAATAAGGTCATTTGTTCCATGATTCACATATTTGTGATCCTAGTTTAAATTTTTAAAAGTTATTTAACGTATAAAGATTTCAATATATTTAAGACTGACTGGCATTTTGTTGTTGTAATAGGTCCAATCTTATCCAGTGCCCTTTGTGATGAAAGTCCTGTCTTCTCTGATTTCCACTCTTTACCAAATTAAAGAATTGTCATGTTTTGGGTTTTATCTGTAATCATAATTCTGTACAATAGATTCTAACACTTACTGTCTCTAATTATACCTTTAATATACTTGACAGATACATCTAATATTTCTAGTTGTATGTAGGTTGGTGAAAGGATAAAGGATTCAAAGAAAAGGAAAATTCCTCTTACACTCATGTAGGTCATTTGGACATAGAGGCAGAAATGAAATGCTGGTTCATCTGCAAGGCATGACACAGAATCCTCATTCCTCTGTTTTTTCACATCAGAGCTGGTATATGGAATTATAATAACTCTAATTTGGATCAGTGTTGAAAAAATAGTGTCTTTACTCATGCCAGTTCTGCTCAGTTAAAATGAGCTCTTTGACTGGATTTGTTTCCCCATAAGAGGAATAGCACAAGTCTTGGTAGTTTCTAAGGCAATTTTGCTCAACAATTTTGATGTTCTTAGTTTTAGTTCTATTTAAAACCACTTTTAATAAATCATGCCTGCCCTGTTTTTGGTTGTCAAACTATCATTTATCAAAATATTTTCCTTTGTAGTTCTTAACTAGCTGAACATTCCACTGTTCCACTGTTGATGTCATCTATGATGTCATGAGGGTGGTGGCCATCAACATTGCAGCCCACAGATTGAGCAGTCCCCAGGATCTCTTTATGGTTCCAGAGAGTTCTCTAGCTAAAGATCAGTGCCACATCCGTCAGGCAGCGTTGACAATCTCATAGAAAATGATGGTTCCACTGTGCTTAACGTTGTTCTGCTTTGTGTCTCTTGGTGGTTCCTTGAGAGCTTTGATAATCAGGGCAGAGGCAGAAGGCACCACTTCAGTATGAGCCTGTCTGTTCTGAATGAATGGTCAGTTTCACTGTAATCCTGAGACCCTTCCAATCACCAGTTGCCTTGGCAATGTCATCACCAACCTTTTTGGAGACAAACCCAGGGGGCTGATCTTGGGGGCCACGGCAAATGTGGCACTGGCGTCCCCACCAGTGCACCTCAGGTGTATGGCTTTGATGTCGCTGGGGTCAAATTTAGGCAGCATAATGGAGGCAGCTGGTGTTGGATGAACCTGGATTTGAGATGACCAAAGACAGTTGCACCTTGGCCTCCTCCAAGCCGAAAGCCAAAAGCCCTTTCATTTCTTGGTTAATGTGGTATGAAGTATTGAGATGGTTTGAATTATACAGATGGGAAAACCGTTTTATTAAGTTAGGCGTTTTTTTCCCCCTAGTATTCCTTCTGCCCTATCAATATTTTAGTGAACCATTTGAAAGTTTGTCCATGACCTTTCCTTTTCTAATTTCATTGACCGGATCTGCCTGCCTGACTGACATTTTGCTAACATAAATGCTGCCTTTTGTTTGTTTCTTCCCGTTCTCTTTTAAAATTTAGTCGCTGTCAGGGTTGAATCAAGTGGGCTGTGCTGCTACCCTGCCTCATTCTTCTGCCTTCATGCTTCTTAAGGTATCTCTTGTTACCGTAATACACCAGGAACTTGAAATTTTCCAATAGATTGGTCCAACAGCAGTGTGAAATCTAGGATTACATGAAATATACATAAGCTTATAAAACTATTTGAATTTAACATTAATTTTACTTGAAATTTTTGGAAGATTTACCATACTAGAAATACAGAGTCTGCGTTAATTCTTTATATTGAAATTCTGTTTGATATGCTGTTCTGATTTTCCTACCAAAGGTTATTTTTTTTGTCATGAGTTATTTTACTTTGGCTGATAAATAATATAAAGTTAACTCTGTTTTCTAATGTGCATTTAAAATAATTTCAGTCCCAGTCCCCAGAAGTGTCACTGCTAAAACCTTCTTCTAGTAGAGGTCAACAAGCTATGGCCTGTAGGCCACATTTTTTGGAAATAGATTTATTGGCACACAGCCACTACCATTTGTTCATATACTGTCTGTGGCTGCTTTTGAGCTTAATAACAGAGTTGGAATATGGCCTGCAACCCTGTGGTATTTTATTTTTTGAAGGCCTCTAGGAATGGTGACTCCATATTTGTTAATCATATGATATATAAGAAATTATTAATAATCTTCCCTGTTAGAAGGTTCTCCCCTTGTCTGGCTTAGATCCACACCCTGTGGCTTACACTTACTTCTCTTCTTTCCAGAGTAGAGATTTTCTAGTTACGTAGCAGTCTTTAAAAAAGAATCTTTATATTTGAAAACTATTATGATGCTGCCCTTGTCTTCTCCCTAAATAAACTCTGGTTGTTTTATGTGCCTTTCCCAGTCTGTTAATCCTTTTGAGCTTTCTCAAGTTCTCTGCCTTCCATTTTGGCTCCACAGCCCCCAAGTAGAAATATAGCCCTTACTAGAGCCTACCTGGCGCTGAGCATGAAACAAGGTTTTTCACATCTTATTCTAAGCGTTGGGTTGGCTTTTCTCATTTCAGTATCCATTTTGGTCAGTAGCCACTGTAATTCTCAAATGTTTCAGTTATACTCCTAAATGATAATTAATTTCCATATCTTGTATCTTTGAACATTTTTAATTCTCTGATTTACCACAATACTTTGAAATTCTTGCATCATGTTCTTCTAAGTGCTGGCCCCAACGTTGTATCATCTGTAAGCCTGATAAACCTTCTCTTTAGTCGGTATTGAAGATGCTACACATACCTGGATGACTTTTGAAAAACCTTTATAATTCTCATCTCTGTTAACTCTTTGCTAGCCTTTCTCAGCTAGGTTCCTCATTTGAATGACAACCCAGAAAATTGAGGGATTGTTCTCAAACTTCTCTCAAGGAAGGTATATTACTAGTATAGGAGATATATAGGAGAGAAGTTAATTCATTACACTCAGTGGATACCTTAGGGCATCAGGGCTTATTCTCTCCCAGAATCATAGTTGAAAAGGCCAAATCTGAACGTGCCAACCCTTGTATGGTAAGTTTAACTTTCTGTCAGACCTGCTGTAGTATAAATGATTAGTTTAAAAAGACTTACCCTTATTTTTTGGCATCCTTGTTACTATACAGCTGATATATATTTGTATATATTTAGCCATGGGTTTACTTCTTTTGTTGCTTAACCAGGCAAAAAAAAGTTGAGTTCCTGTCAATTTGTTTTTTTGCTCCAGTTCTGCAAGAGTTCTCAAATAGAGTCAGTGGCCTCTGAGTAATTTGAACTAATAATCTTCATACCCTAGAATGCAAGTCACTTAGATTTCTAGTTTCAATAAAAGTACATTTTAAAAATCACCATTTTACAAGTTGCCTCTATTCTGGCTTTGTTTTTCTTTACACGCAGCTGTGTAAAGCTGTGTACCTTTTTGATGTTTCTAGAGGTGGAGAAATTTGTTGCCATTCAGTGCAGTTTGCTTCACTTCCTCCTTCTCGTCTAATAGAGTTGTCTGTTAGCTTAATTCTTTTTTGCAATATTAAATTTCTAGCCTAACTCCTATTAGTCTTTTTAAATTAAAAAATGTATATTTTCCCTCTATGTCTGGAATAATCTCTACTGTTTATGTTTTCCTGTTTGTACCATTGACCCTTGACTAGGTCTCTGTTGGGCTAACTAGTTTTCTCCTTTCTGTCTCATATTTCTTGAAAATAAGGATATTCTTTTTTGTTTCCTTGCAAAGATATCGTTTTCGCCTCATTTTCTTGTTCGTTCTTTTTATTAGTTCTTGCCGCTCTTATTATATCTTTTTTTTTGTTGCTCTTATTTTAAATTTGTTATTTAAATTTTCATTTCTTTTCAACATCCTAAACTTAGCATATTTGCATCTATAAACTTGATGAACGTATCTTTTTTCACTAATGAAGATGTAATACGTTGCTTCACTCAACAGCTTGGCTTACTTTATAAATTTTCAGCCAAAGAGTATCAAATCAAGGAACTGTTACCACGAAATTGTCTTCCAGATCAGTCCAAGAATCTTCTCAACAGCATGACTTCTGTGTATGTGTGTATATATGCATGAATGTTAACAAATTCCCTATCATAATTAATTTCTTCTGCCCAGCTCCCAACTAGAAAATATTAAAACCAAAAGGGAGAAAAAAGCATGGGAGCAGATGTATGTACCTCTGTGTTTTAAAATCATTCGGTTAGGGGCACTTGGGTGGCTCAGTCAGTTAAGCGTCTGATTGCGGCTCAGGTCATGATCTCGTAGTTCACGAGTTTGAGCCCCACATCAGACTCAGTGCTGACAGCTCAGAGCTTGGAGCCTGCTTTGGATTCTGTGTCTCCCTCTCTCTCTGCCCCTCCCCTGTTCTCTCTCTCAAAAGTAAATAGACATTAAAAAATTAAATAAAGTTATAATATGTTTAATTTATTGGGCCTAGATGTTGAGGCCTTGAATATTGTTACTCTAACCTTTCTTGATTCTACTCCCCTGCCAAGTCTTCAGTGTCTTTAACCCATCCAACCAACACTTCTTTTTAAATGAGCTTAATTACATTTCTCTTTTTTTAGATAAACTTTATACATGTTAAGCTAGCTCTTCCCCCTTTTTATATAAGTTCTCTTTGGTCAATGAAGTAAAAATATCTTGGACTTAAATGTTAGTCTGGAAATACAGCTATCTATCTTTAAACACTTTGTTTCCTAACAGAAATGAAGAAATCTTCATCATTTTTTTTAATACATTAAATTTTACTCTCCAGAGGTGGAGAAATATACTTTAGAAACTATACCAGAAAATGAAATTATAAAATGAAATTATTCTCCCCTATAGATTTCCCAATAAAATTTTCTGCCTTAGGATGATCATTTTTCATAGTCATAGGAAAGACCTATTATATAATAGAACTATCTTTAGAGAATGCATTATATAAACTTTTCATGTTACAGAAGTAAGTAAAAAGTTTGGCCTTAAAAATAATGTACAAAATCAACCCTTACTCCAAATTCTCATTTCTAGACTTAATTTTAAAAGAGACTTGCATGATTTTTTCTTTTATCCCAAAGTAATCATAAATGTGGAAAGTAGCTCTTCTTGAGTAATAATTATTGATATATCTCCATTTCTCTACAGAATGATGACAGATCTAATACCATATCAAGTTCACCTACAACAGAAACAGGTAATAATAGACACAAAGTTACAATTAACCACATCAAGAGTAATTCTTTACTAGGATTTTCCTGATAAATACCTCTCAGAGAGCTGTGACTTCCATTTCTGAGATGAGAAATCAGACCCACAATTGGGAACTTCCTGCACATTTTCCATTTTTTAATTCAACTGGTTGGTCACCTCTTCAAGCATTTGATATGAACAAATGAACATGAGCTAGCAGGGCTATAGGTTTGCAAGAGAATCTATTCAATATATTAACACTCATTCTGCCTTTATTAACATACCAAAAATAGCATGACAATTAAAACTACAAACAGCCTTCCTGATTTCAAGGTTACTTTTCTGTACTAGATTTTATATTAATAAACAAAATTATCACTTTATATCATTATCATGTTTAATTTGATCTTTATATCATTTATTGAACTTGTGACATGTGTCTGTTGTTATATTTAATTTTTTTCCATCTCCTTTAATCTTATTTTGCTTTTCCATGCTGATGTAGTTCATCATTCCCCTGCATATTCTTTTCCTGCTGCTATTCAGAGAAACCAGGCCCAGCGCCCTGAAAGCTTCCTTTACCGAGCAGCTGTCAGGGCAGAAGCAAATAAAGGTAGGTCATAGTGACTGAGAAGGGGGGGTGGGTGCTTTATATAATGACAGTAACTTGTATGCTTTTATTTTATTATTATTTTTTCAATGTTTATTTACTTTTGAGAGAGAGAGAGAGAGAGACAAATCATGAGCAGCAGAGGAGGGGCAGAGAGAGGAAGACACAATCCAAAGCAGGCTCCAGGCTCTGAGCTGTCGGCATTGAGCCTGATGCAGAGCTTGAACCCATGAACCGTGAGATCATGACCTGAACTGAAGTTGGACGCTTAACCAACTGAGCCAACCAGGCACCCCTATGCTTGCTGTATGCTTTTAAACTTCTACCCTGAGACGTCACTTTGGCAAAAGCTTTAAACTTTGATCTCACTAACATTAAAGCAGGAGAATCTTTGGGGTGCCTGGGTGGCTCAGTCAGTTAAGCGTCCAACTTTGGCTCACATCATGATGTATGTCACGGTTCATGAGTTTGAGCCCTGCATCGGGCTCTGTGCTGACAGCTCAGAGCCTGGAGCCTGCTTCAGATTCTGTGTCTCCCTCTTTCTCTGCCCTCCCCCTGCTTGCTCTCTGTTTCTCTCTCTCTCTCTCTCAAAAATAAACATTAAAAAAAAAAAAAAGGAGAATCTTATTTCAATTTAACTAGAGTTTCTTAGCACTACCCAAAGGAGGTTATAGGTTGGAACAAATAAAACACTCTTTCAGGCTTTAGGGAATGTTCCTTCTCTCTGTAATGAGCCTTTTTCAGATTTTTCTATTGATAAAAGCTATTTTATGTGTTCTTAAAGAAATGAATCAGTAATTCTTTTTTTTTTTAATCTACTTTTTAGTTTTTTAGTTAATATACATCTGCCTGGCCTCCAAAGAAGTTACCTGGAAGTAGAAACAAACATTTCAAATAAAAAATAACAACTTTGAGTGTAACTGATAGATGCCCTCACAGATTTAAAATCAAACCAGAGACACACTGCATATAGGATTATAAACTAGTATGGAAAACTGTTTCCATTATCTAATAATACTGAACACTTGTATGTCCTATCACCAGCAGTTTGCTTTCCGAAATGTGTAAGCATATATACCCCAAGATATTTACAAAAATATTTATAGCAACATTATTTATTCATGATAGCCCAAACAGAGTGTTCATGACTGATACAATGGGTAAATAATTGTGGTGTGTTTGTACAATGGGATACAGTATAAGCAATAAAAATGAACCAATTAATACATACAATATGGATAAATCTTCTAGTGTCGATCAAAAGAAGACAAAAGCATGCATACACACATATATTTGGCTTCATTTATAGAAAGTTCAAAACTAGACAAAACTAATCTATGGTATTACAAATCAAGAAGTCCATAGCTAGGACCTGTGTTGTTGTAAGTAACCATTAGGTACTGATGGGTAGGTGTCATGAGAGGGCCTTCTGGGTGTTGGTAATAATTGCATTTATTGACCTGATTGTGTCTACTTTGTGATAATTTATTGAGTTGTTTATGATTTGCATAATTTTCTGTATGTGTGTTATTTTTCAATGGAAACATTTTTAATCAAAACGAGTTGAGCTAAGTGGGTAATGGACATTTGGTAGTTTTTAACACTGTTCTCCCTATTATTGTGTATATTTGAAACTTTTCATAATAAAAACTTTTTTTAAAGAGTCCATGCAGAAGTGAAAAGTGCTGCACTTGTAAGGAGACTGTGATCAGGTGGAGCTGAGAATTTTTCCAGCACTAGCAGTCGCCTTTCTGTCTTACATATTCATATTTTTTTAGGTCATGCTTCACCCCTTCTTTCATCTTCTGCACCTCCCACTGACTCTGCAGATCCCATAACAAGACCCAATTCAAGACAGAGAGAAGAAGAGCTGGAATTAATGGATCAACTACGGAAAGTGTGTACACTACCTCTGAATTATACTTTCACATTGTTACTGCTAGAGCGCATAACCCTGCAATCACTTGTTCATTTGACTTAAAATTTTTAATAGAATCAACAAGTGCCCACCGTGTGGTAGATGTAAAAGAGATTCTGCTATTAAGGGCATTCTTTTCATCTGTTTGCTAGGAAAATGAGATGGGTTATTCTATAAAGCTCAATCCCTAGCCCTGCTCATTTAAAAGTTTTTTCTGCCTCATGTACAGAAATCTTGTAAGAGTAGCAATAATTTATATGTATGTACACATATATATATATATATCACACTTACATATAGTGTTTTGTTTTGGAATTGACAGAATCTAGTTCGGTTTTATTTCTAAGCATAAAATTGTAAATGAATTTCTCATGTAATATTTTGCACCACTGTGGCCTGGCCACCATATGTATGTATTAGATCTCCTTGAGTTACTGACTTAGGATGGAAGAATAAAATGGGGATTGTGGTACTTGGGGTGCCTGGGTGGCTTAAATCAGTTAAGCATATGACTTGATTTTTAGCTCAGGTCGTGACCTCACAGTCTTGAGATCAAGCCCTGCTTAAGATTCTCTCTCTTCCTCTCCGTCGTCTGCCCCTCCCCTGCTCTCAAAAACAAAATAAATAAATAAACAAATAAAATAGGGATTGTGGTACTTATTTGCTTTCTATCTTGATTCTTAATTATAGTATTTCATTGTAACTCCATTATGTCCTGTGTCAGCCACATCAGTTAATGTATTACACATTTTCCTGTTCTTCTAGCATATTGAGTACCGGTTGAAAGTATCACTGCCTTGTGATCTGGGAGCAGCTCTAACCGATGGTGTTGTTCTTTGCCATTTGGCCAATCATGTGCGGCCTCGATCTGTCCCAAGCATCCATGTCCCCTCACCAGCTGTAGTAAGTATATAATACTAAAAAAAACCCATTGGCTATTCATTAGACATATATTATGTACAATGGCAGGTATTATGCAGAATGCTAGGGATACAAATATGAACAATCCAGTCCCTGCCTTCCTGGGTCTACTTTCTACTAGCGAAAAAAAAGGCATGTAATCAATTATTAATAACTGTGATAAATGTTATGAGAGGTATGCAAGAAGTTGCTATAGGAATACTAAAAAGGGACCACTTAACTCTGCCTGGAGAGTTCAGGAAAGCCTGCTTAGAGGAGGTCAAATTTGAACTATTCTTAAAGTATGAGTAGGAATTTGCCAGCATAGGGGCGCCTGGCGGGCTCTGTCTATAGAGCATGTGACTCTTGATCTGGGGATCATGTGTTAAAGCCCCATTGGGCATAGAGATTACTTTTTAAAAAAACAATGACAGAGAAGATTATTTTAAAAAACAAAAAAGGAATTTGCCAGCATAATATGCCTAGATTCAAAAGATAGGGAGGATCATGGTATGTTCAAGGAACTCATAAGTTGTTTAGGATGATGATGCACAAAATTGTAGGTGTAAATGGTGGGAGATGTAGCTTAAGAGGTAAGCCAAGGGCCATGTGACAATGATGTTATGTGCCGTGTCAAAGAGTTAGATGTTTATCTAAGTGTAGACAGTGAAGAAACAAAGAATTGGGGGGGAGAAATATGATTATAATTGCAGTTTAGAATGATGAATCTATTTTGGGAGTGGAATTGACATGATCTAGTGACCAACCGTGGGTAGAAAACAAGGATGCCTTCAGGATGACTGGCAGGTTTTCTTTTGACTGCTGGTCAGATATAGAAGTCAGAAGTCAGTATCAGGATGACAACCCACAGAAGAAAGAACAAGTTTTTTCCCCTTCAAATTTTCATTATAAAAATTTCAAACTTTCAGGAAAATTGAAATAATAATACAAGGAACATTCTTCTTTTTTTTTTTTTTAATGTTCATTTTTGAGAGAGAGAGAGAGAGGGAGACACAGAATCCAAAGCAGGCTCCAGGCTCTGAGCCGTGAGCACAGACCCCGACATGGGGCTTGAACTCACGAACTACGAGATCATGACCTGAGCCAAAGTCAGACACTAAACCGACTGAGCCACTCAGGTGCCCTACAAGAAACAGTCTTAAAGCATCTACCTAGACCTGACATTTATTTCATTTTGCAGTGTTGCTTTGCCTATATTTGGGTGTATGTGTGTGTGTGTGTATTTGTGTTTTAATTGTACTGTTTAGTTGCAGATATTATGGAGCTTTACTCTCTAAATATTTCAGAGAATTGTCCCAGTCCACCTTGCTCTTCTCTGTAGCTCATAGCCAATGACTGACATAGGAGCTGAGCCCTCCTGCCTCAAGATGGGAGTGAGATGTGATTCACACTCCAGTGCTTCCTGTAGGATCAGGCTGAAACTGAGAAGGGGATGTAGTAAGCCACTAACAGCCAACCCAGACTAGGATGGATGCACAGGCTAGCTGATGTGTCACTGGGTGAAACACCAACAGCATCCATAATCTAGATGCAGATTTCCCCAGTTGTTCCAAAACTATCTTTCATAGCTGTGCTCTCTCCTCTCCCTGTACCCAGCGCGCGCGCACACACACACACACACACACACACACACACACACACACACAACCAGGATATAATGAAGGTTCCCATTGCATTTAATAGTTATTGTTGTAACACCCTCTTTTGATGATTGTGAATGGATACTGTTCATTTTTTTTTTAAGTTTATTAATTTTGAGAGAGAGAGAGAGAGAGAGAGAGAGAGCACGCACATGCAAGCAGGGGAAGGACACAAAGCCTGACGTGTGGCTCCATCTCACAAAACCATGAGATCATGACTTGAGCTGAAATCAAGAGTCAAATGCTTAACTGACTAAGCCACCCAGGTGCCCCTGGATACTGTTCATTTGTAGCATGCTTAACATTGTCTAACCTTTCAAAAAACTTGACCTCATCTCATTTTCTGGTCATTTGTTATTTAGCAGGCACTTCCTGTTACAAATTCTTTACTCAAATTGCAGTTGTATCTAGGCCTATAGATGGCCACTTTTGGATATTCAACGTGCTACCTCTCCAGATGCAAATCATTTATCTCTCTCAAGGACCTTGTGTTCTTCTAATTACAAAAGCTGCTTTGTTACCAAAGTCCCAAGGGTGATAATGTGGCCGTATCCCCTCCAGCACATCCACAGGTGGCATGTTGCATTTGCTTCTAAGGAAAATCGGCAGCCACTTTTATTTAGTGACCCCTGAAAATAGTCCTTCAGTTTTGTTTAGGAAAGGCAGAGAGGAACAGCACTACCAAAGTCCGCTGTGCTCTCAGAGACTTGAAAGACTTGCTGTTGGTCCTAAAGGTGGTGATTAATAGAATAGGAATTGTGCTGTTTGGCAACACCAGTAAGGAAAGGGTTTATTCATACTTTGCATTCTTCCCAGATTCTGTCAACTGGATTAAAGAAAAAAAAATGTTTTAAGAATAATTTTAAAAAGGACAGATCTGTCACTTTTCATTTCCAGAGGAGATACATACAAAGTAGCAAGCAGCCAATGCAAAAAGGGGAGTTTGAAAATAAGGGTGACTGAGGTTCTTTACCTTGATTACCAGAGCACAGTGCTTCCACGTAAGAATGTAAAATACATACAGAAAAAATAAAACTATTTTACAAATACTTAAACTGCCTAAAGAAATGAAACACATGGACCTGCTTTTAGTCAAAGAAATATAGGTATTACATGAGATGAGAGCATTTAAAACTTGCTAGTGAAATCAACAACAAAACTTAACTCCTATGCATTGAGTACATATCAAGTGTGAGAACAGAAGGTACAGAGGAGTTACAAGCAGTCCAATCTCTTAACATTAATTCCTCTTTAAAAAACCAAAATCAGGGACGCCTGCGTGGCTCAGTCAGTTAAGTGTCCAACTCTTGCTTTCCGCTCAGGTCATGATCTCACGGTTGGGTAGGATCGATCCCCAAGTTGGGCTCTAGGCTGACAGCGTGGAGCCTGCTTGAAATTCTCTCTCTCTCTCTCTCTCTCTCTCTCTCTCTCTCTCTCTCTCTCTGCCCCTCTGCATGTTCTGTCTCTCAAAATAAATAAACGTTTTTTAAAAAATCAAAAGAGGTCGTTTCGGGGCACCTGGGTGGCTCAGTTGGTTATACACCTGACTCTCGATTTTGATTCAGGACATGATCTCACACTTTGTGAGATCAAGCCCCGCATCAGGCTCTGTACTGACAGCCCAGAGTGTGAGATTCTCTCTGTCCCTCTCTCTCTGCCCTTCCCCCACTCACTCTCTCACTTGCTCTCTCAAAATAAATGTTAAAAAAAGGAGAAACATGTAAATGTTAAAACTTCCCAAATTAGAATATTTGGGGGTAAAAAAATGGACTTTGAGCCAACCAGTTAAAGATTGTCCAGTATTTTAATTAAAAGCAAAAAACCCCAACAAAACCAAAAATCCCTACTTTGAAATCGTGATAATGATTTTATGAGTAAATCGGTATTGTGTTAATGGGATTTCTGTTACGGTACTAGATTTCAGTATAAATATTTACATCTATTTTTCTTTTCTATGGATTACCTTCCTTCATATTAGATTGTCACTTCCCTTATTTTGTTCTTTTGACCACACAGAGAGCTTTGTAACTTACTTTCTTAGAAGTTTTTTGTAAGGAGAATATAAAATTAAAGCCATATACAAATGAAGAACCATATCAGTTTCTTTATGGTTGCATTAAAACATGGTGATTTATTGTAATTCTTTGAGAACTGCCTAATTACCACTGTGAGTATATAACTTAAAAAACACTTTCTTGAGGGGCGCCTGGGTGGCTCAGTTGGTTAAGCATCCGACTTCAGCTCAGGTCATGATCTCACAGTTCACGAGTTCAAGCCCCGCGTCGGGCTCTGTGCTGACAGCTTGGAGCCTGGAGCCTGCTTCGGATTCTGTGTCTTTCTCTCTCTCTGCCTTTCCCCCACTCATGCTCTATCTGTCTCTCTCTCTCTCTCTCTCTTTTTCTCTCTCAAAAATAAATAAAGATTTTTTAAAAATTAAAAAACAACAACACTTTCATGATCTAAGAACCATAATTTCTTTCACCCAATTCAAAAAAATGACCCTTATTGTAAGGAGAGGTCTCATGTCCAAGCATTTCAGACTAGATGGGGCACATTCAGGGTGGTAAACTGCTGTTTGGTTGTTTAATAGGCATAGGTGTTACGGGTACAGTTAACATTCTTAGAAGTGCACTAGTAAATCATATCAAATATCATGACAAATATTGTAATATGACAACTCACTGAAGGAACCATATCACCAAGGTAGATAACCTATAAAAATTCTGAATCATTTCAAATTTCAGAATAGTGAAATTGTTTATTTCTTACTCCTTTAGGTATAGGTTATGCTCTTGTTGAAATCTTCTTCTGCAAAACCTACATAAGATTTCTATTCAGATCGGTTGTTCATTAAAGAATTAGAACAGGCTATGCATGGCTATTTAAAACCATATGTTATGTCATCCAAACTTCTGGAGAAGCTTTTGGGAATAGCAGGTTCTCCAAGATTTGACTTAAGGCAAAATCACGAGTCCTTCTGCACTCCAGAGTGATAGGGAGTCTAGCCGATGGGTCCTTTTGACTAGCTATTCTGTTGGACACATACAGGCAGGGATTTGTAGCCTGGGATCAAGCACTTTTAGGGCTCCATGAACTCCCCAATTTGCATGCATGTGTATTCTTCTCAAGAAAAGATTCACAACTTTCATCAGACCATAAGGAGTTTGATTGTAGTTATGAAATACTGGTCTACATCCCTGGAAATGAGATATATGCTAAAGGAAGAAATGGCTAGGGAGAGAGCTGATTGATTGTTCCTCATTCCTCTTCACCTTCATCAGTCAGATCTCTACTGTCTACAGGGGAAATCTCAAAGGAAGTCTCTGTTCTGCTTCCCACCCCCATCTGCTCCCCCTCTCCCCACAAACAGAGACATCTTTTATGTCTTAAGGTGCTAGTAGTCTTCATGGAGGTAATGTTCAGTTAGTCTCCATGATCACTATTCTGACTGACCTTTTCTTTTCCTTTTTTCTGAGATGGTGGTGATTCCTGAACCAGTTTTAACTTAGTGACATGACCTCCATTTTTTAGCCTTTCTTTTGCATAGAAACCAAGTTGTTTTTCTACCTACACAGTCAGACCTATTTCACTCTCCCCTCCATAGATGTTGGCATCTGAATGGTAGAGTTTCAGAAGTGTAGGGGCCCTTCTTTTGTAGAGTCCATGGTGCCCTGTGTGCACATCCCCAGCCTTCTCTCCCAGACTCAGATCAAGATCCTGATTTGCTTAGCTAAGGTCCGTTGGTAACAGGAGAAGCTAATTACATTGTTTCTACTTCCATTTTTACAGGCAGACAGAGAAGCTGGTATAGGGAGAGAGAATTTCTAGCCAATGAAAAATTCTCCTAAGTGAAAAGCAGTTGTCTTGTGTTTTCTTAATTTGCCCAACTTCCCTTAAAGTTAAGCCCTTGTCATGATAGCTTTCACCACAGTAACTTTTTCTTTATGCATCAGTTCACCTTACCTCCCTCTTTAGCCAGGAGTTGAGAAGACCACAGCATCACTTGTGCAGGGAGCACCTTGCTCTTTCACATGTAAAAAGTAGAAGAGAATGAAGGAGCCCAGCCCCAGTTTGAATTAGCCAATTTGAACCCCCATGCTGTTTTCCTCCTTATGTTAAGTAGGTCCTGATTCTACTGTTTCACTCTTTAAAAAAAAAACAAAAACAAAAAAACCACTTTTTTAAAAAAATTTCTTTTAATATTTATTTTTGAGAGAGACAGAGTAAAAGTGAGGGAGGCACAGAGAGAAAAAGAGAGAGACACACAGAATCTGAAACAGGCTCCAGGCTCTGAGCTGTCAGCACAGAGCCTGACGTGGGGCTCAAACTCATGAGCCGTGAGATCATGACCTGAGCTGAAGTCTGACACTTAACTGACTGAGCCACCCAGACACTGCCAAAAAAACAGACTTTTTTACTTCGATGATAGAAGAACTTGGCATAGGAAAGAATGGGTACTCTCCTGGAAACCTAATGCCTATCCTCTTTCTGGACCTTTTTGAAAGTTTTTCAATTTGAAATTTAAAAATTATTATTGGGGTGCCTGGCTAGCTCAGGTTGGTGGAGCTTATGACTTTTTTTTTTTTTTTTAATTTACATCCAAGCTAGTTAGCATATAGTGCAACAATGATTTCAGGACTAGATTCCTTAATGCTCCTTACCCAATTAGCCCATCCCCCCTCCCACAACCCCTCCCATAACCCTCTGTTCTCCATAAGAGTCTCTTATGTTTTGTCCCCCTCCCTGATTTTGTATTATCTTTGCTTCCCTTATGTTCATCTGTTTTGTATCTTAAAGTCCTCATATGAGTTAAGTCATGTGATATTTGTCTTTCTCTAATTTCACTTAGCATAATACCCTCCAGTTCCATCCAAGCTAGTTACAAATGGCAAGATTTCATTCTTTTTGATTGCCAAGTAATATCACGTGTGTGTGTGTGTGTGTGTGTGTGTGTGTGTGTGTGTGTATACCACATCTTCTTTATCCATTCATCCATTGATGGACATTTGGGCTCTTTCCATACTTTGGCTATTGTTGATAGAGCTGCTATAAACATTGGGTGTATGTGTCCTGAAACAACATGCTGTATCCCTTGGATAAATACCTACTAGTGCAATTGCTAGAGTTATAGGGTAGTTCTATTTTGCAATTTTTTGAGGAACCTCCATACTGTTTTCCAGAGTATACATGGACTGCGTTCCCACCAGCAGTGCAAAAGATCCTCTTTCTCCACATCCCTAGCCAACATCTATTTGTTGCCTGGGTTATTAATATTAGCCATTCTGACAGGTGTGGTGGTATCTCATTGTGGTTTTGATTTGTGTTTCCCTGATGATGGCGCGGTGATGTTGGGCATTTCGCCATGTCAGTTGGCCATCTGGATGCCTTCTGGAGAATGTCTCTCCATGTCTTTTGCCATGTCTTCCACTGGATTGTTGTTTTTTAATTCAGTTTGATAAGTTCTTTATAGACACGGATACTAATCCTTCTGATATGTAGTTGCAACCTCTTTCAACGATTAAGCCTTTAGTTTTGCTGATTCTTTTCCTTCACTGTTTAGAGGCTTTTATTTGTTGAGGGTCCCAATAGTTCATTTTGCTTTGTTTCCTTGCCCCACTCTGGGCGATGTTGGAGTAAGGAAACGCTGCTGACCAAGGTCAGAGAGGTTTTTATACTCTTTCTATCTTGACTGGGTCCTTTCTATCCATTTGAGTTTCTTTTTGTGTACAAGTGTAAGAAAGTGGTCCAGGTTCATTTTTCTACACCATCAGTTTCCCCAATAATTTGCTGAAGCGTCTTTATTCCATTGGATATTCTTTCCTGCTTGGCTCAAAATTAGTTGGCCACTCGTTTGTGGGTCCATTTTCTGGTTCTATTCTGTTCCAATAGTCTGTGTCCTGTTTTATGTAGTACCCTGTCTGTATTGGCTTGTAATACAGCTTGATATGACTCTGATCTCGGGGTTGTAATTCAGACCCCATGTTGGTCTACATGAGATGCCAAAAAAAATAAAATATTTAAAATATTTTTAGTTAGTATTTCCTTTCATCCCACCTTTTTATTATTTTTTATTTTTTTTTAAATTTTAACATTATTATTATTATTTTTTTAATGTTTATTTATTTTTGAGACAGAGAGAGACAGAGCATGAGCAGGAGGGTCAGAGAGAGGAAGACACAGAATCCGAAGCAGGCTCCAGGCTCTGAGCTGTCAACCGCAGCGACATGGGGCTCCCGAACTCATGGACTGTGGACATGACCTGGGCGAGAATTAAAGCAACCGACTGAGCCACCCAGAATTTAACGTTATTTAATGTGAGAGACAGAGCATCTAGCAGGGAGGGGCAGAGAGGAGACACAGAATCAGGCTGGGCTCCAGGCTCTGAGCTATCAGCACAGAGCCTGACGTGGGGCTTGAACTCACCAACTGCGAGACCATGACCTGACCCGAAGTCAGACGCCTAACCAACGGAGCCACCCGGGGTCCCCTCCCACCTTTTTATTTTTTATAATAAAGTCAATCCTAGCCCCTGCTGCCTCTTGCAGGTTTAGATTATAATAGTTGCTTGAAACACTATCATGTATTTATCACATTTCCCCTCTTTTCATGATGGAGTATCATATTCCATCTTTGAAGAAAGTCCAGGTATTCACAAATGAAACCATTGTTTTCTAGAGATGGTCAAGGCTTCCATCTGCTAACCTGTGTGAAAACTGTAAGGCAGAGTTTGTGCAGACATTTGGCTTCCATGCCTGATGCTTAAACGTATTGAAAACCAGTCCGTGAATTTGAACACTTGAGTTTGTTAATCATTCTGGGAAATGGAATTCATATTTCTTTCTTACGTTATAACCCATAGGTGAAAAACTTTTTCACAACTTTAGGTCATGTGATACAACTCTGTTTTTAGTAAGAGATCTGTTCAGAAAAACAAACTTACTAATTAGAAATTAGGGAAATCTCCTATGGGAAATGTTCATCCTTCAGAAAACAGGTTCTTTAGTCCAATCTTTTAAAATAGAAATGTTTGGGGACCCTGGGTGGCTCAGTTGGTTAAGCATCTGACTCGATTTCAGCTCAGGTCACAATCTCACAGTTCTGGAGTTCAAGCCCCTTATCGGGCTTGCACTGGTGGTGCTGAGCCTGCTTGGGATTCTCTCTCTCTCTCTCTCTCTCTCTCTCTCTCTCTCTCTCTCTCTCAGGATTCTGTCTGTCTGCCCCTCCCCTGCTTGTGCTTTCTAAATAAATAAAATTTAAAAAAAATAATAAAGTAAAATATAAATGTTTAAAAACTTTTCATATTACCATTGAGTAGAGACATGATGCATCTGTAACATATGTCTGAGCAAAAGCTATTGGTTTTCTAAAATTATCTTCTTCTAGGGGCACCTGGGTGGCTCAGTCGGTTAAGTGTCCTGGGCTCAAGTCATGATCTCACAGCTCGTGGGTTCAAGACCTGTGTCAGGCTCTGAGCTTCAGCACAGAGCCTGGAGCCTGCTTCAGATTCTGTGTCTCCCTCTCTGCCCCTTCTCCCCCGTTCGTACTCGTTCTCTCGCTCTCTCTCTCTCCTAAAAATAAACATTAAAAAAAATTTTTTTTTAGAAAATTATCTTCTTTTAATAAAGGCTGCAAGAAAATGAACCAAAGTGTTGACTGTGATTGTACTTGAATGATGAGGTTGTGGGTAATTTCCTTCCTATCCCTACATATTTTCTTTACTGTATATTGTTTTAAAATGGCAAAAAAATTAAACAACTATCCCCCCTAAAATTTCTCTGTATTTAGCACTTGCCTTACAAAAATCAAAGTAAAATGTCTAAAGTACACAGTGGCAACCTGTGGTCCAAGGCCAGCACCTATTTTTGTAAATGAAGTTTTACTGGAACACCTTTTTGCGTATATATTGTTTGAAGTTGCTTTCAAGCTCTTAGCAGATCATATGGCCATAAAGACTAACAGATTTATTATCTAATCCTTTAAGGAAAAGTTTGCTGACCCTATGGTCTAGAGTGCTGAATTGACGAAGGAATTGTGAGAAGAGTATTTTTAAAATAAGAAATTTTTTAAAACGTTGGTAATAACACCACATTTTCCTTTCTTTGTAGCCTAAATTAACAATGGCAAAATGCAGGCGGAATGTGGAGAATTTCCTAGAAGCTTGCAGAAAAATTGGTGTACCTCAGGTAATAAGTTTAACATTTTTTATATTGCCTAAATGACGCTGCCATCTCCCCATCTCAGACTTCAGTATTATTTTTCTAAAATTTTTCAGAAGTGTAAGTATCTAAAATCTTAGAGGACTAGCTCTGAACCACATTGATGACTACTAACATGACTTTGTGTTACTAGAGTCAGTCAGTATACTTCTTAGCAATTTTCCTTAATTATTTCCAAGGACTGAGCAAAAAAATAATACACATATAAATTTAAATTTATTGTAATAAGTAATTCATGCTAAATAATCAAAATCGTTACTCTGTTTTCCTAAACGTTCCTACTTGCTGTTGGACTTGTATACATCTTCATCCACAAGAGTCTCTGCTTCACAGTGAGTGCATCTCAGACTGAGAATGCTCCAGTTGGTTTCAGGTTTTTGAACACTTACTTTAATACTTTCTAAAAATGTTTATTTTGAAATAATTTTAGACTTAGAAAAACGTTACAAAAAAGCACAGAGAGTTACTGTGTGTACTTTACGTGTACTGTTAACATCTATATAAACATAGTGTGTCATCCAAACTAACAAACACAGGGACAGTGCTGTTAGCTAAATGACAGACTTGATTCAGATTTCACTGGTTTTTCCACTAAGTTCTAATACTTTGGAATGTAGCACACAGAGGCTATTTCTAGGGATTTGTCCTGCTCTTGAGATTTATTGTCTCCAGGTTCCTCAGTTACAGTTTCCTTGCCCTTTAATAAATAGTACAAATAGTTAAGCTCTGTAGATGTAATTAATTAAGAGACATGAACTTCATACATTTGTTATTGTTACGCTTTTAAAACAATTGTGTTAAACCAACTAAGCATGGTACTCTTAAAAACTACTATATTTAATGACATGAGACATAGATACATTTAAAGAAATAACTTGGTACTATTAGATTTTTTTTTTCATTAACCATAATCCTTATAGTTCCTGTCATCATATCTGGTATCCAACCTTCAAGAAGAAAAACATGACTTTTTTCTATCACTTTCTTAATAAGCTGTCAGAACCCCAGGATTAGCCCCTGACTCAACTCCAGTGTTTCTCTTGAACTTAAGCCCTTTGTCCTAACAGCTTTCATCACAGTGACTCTCTCTTTACCCGGCCCCCATTCCTCTCTCTTAGTTACCTTGAGTTGAGGCGGTCACAGCACCACTTGTCCAGTGGGCGGCCTTCTCCCTCAGCTCTTGTACGTGTTGCAGAGTGGAAGAGAAAGAGTCCAGCGCCGTAGAGCATTAGCTGGAGTCAGTTCCCATGATTGTTTATCCCCTTTGATTAAGTAGATTGTAATTCTACTAGTTATTTTTCACTGTTTTCTTTTGTGGCTTTTTTTTTTCAAACCCGAGTTACAAAAAGAACCTAAGTTTACATTTTTGGTAGTTAGCAAGAACCTGTTTTTGTTCCTGTGGACAAATGAAAGCAGATTTTTCATTTTTATATCATATTGTTTTCTAGACTCATCATCTCTTTTAGAACAAACCATTTTTAAACATAGTAAGAGAGCATCAATAAGGTTTCTAAGCAAATAGTGTGCATTTTCTCCATATTAATAAGCAGGTCCTAATATTCTAATACTAGTGTGTATACACACAGTAACGGTCAGTGCTTTCTTCTGTCTGTTGAAGATGTTCCTACCTAATCATCACATTACACAAGCAGGCCCAGGACCTGCCCCAATGCCATAGCACATGTCTTAGAACAAAAGAATGTGGTGTGGGTTAGTGCAGGGAATGGGAACCCGAGAGAGGATAAGAGTAACTGAAAAGAGGCACCGCATACCCAGAGAGAAGAGCACTGGAAACATCCCCAAACAGCAAGACAGGTTCGAGACTTGGCCTATATCAGACCTATTAAAAGTGCTGTTTAGCACTTTTACAGTCATTGTACCTGTCCTCTGGGCTTTAGAGAACCACCCTGTGTCTCAGATTTCAAGTCATACGCTCAGATTCTTTCAGAATGTACCTGCCAACAGTCAGCAAAATATAGTCTGCCTTAAAGTGTACATTTAATTCAGCATTTGCCAACCAATGGGTAACAGTATTTATTGTGGGCCAGCCTGTCCCTGTTCCTGCTGTGCTGTTTGAAGGCAGGAGACAGAAAAAATACAAATTTAAAAGACTAGGTATTTTTCCAGGGTGGTTAGACTGAGGTTCTTGACACATCCTTCCTCCCTCTCAGTCTCCCCACCCGAAAGAGGAAGTGGACAATCCCGGAGGCCACCTCTTCCTCTCTGCTTCTGCCTTCCACCCCAGTGTCGACCACCATCACTACCACCACTACCACTCTGAGATGGGTTCCTGTTACGATGCTGCTTCTGTTAAAAAAAATTAGTCATTTGCTTAAAACAGAGTGAAGGAAAATGAATAAATACAGAAACTCATAGGTTCAAACTAACCTCAGGTCCCTCTGCCCCAGGAGGAAAGAAGAAACCTGTACCTCTTCCTCTTCCTTTGTCCTCCCCTATGTCTGGGCATTCTGATCTTTACCCAAATACCCCCACTTCTGTTTGACTTGTAATGTCACTTTTGAAAATGTATAACATAAAACTTAATATTGCAAATATTTGTCAGATTTTATGTCCAGAGAATATGTATAAAGGTGAACAATTTCCCTTCTCAATATAACTTTTGAAGTGTTGATGAGTTGTGAATGAAACTCTAAAGAATAAGGTGACTCTTGAAAACCTCTGATAAGGCTGGACATGTGGGTATTCTCTTTATTATTATACTTTTATTAAGTATGTTACATTCAGAAAACTATAATGGGTGATAAAAATGTCTATTTGAGTCCAGTATCTTATGTCCTAGAATTACTATATGTTATGTGTTAAAGAATATTTTCCTGTTCTCCAGTCCAATTGTGTTTTTATTTACTTAATTTCTTCACCTATGAGCTGGAGGGGCTTTCTCTGAACACTTACCTCTCCTCGGCCCACGTGCAGGTTTGGTCCTGCTTTCTGGCCCATTCTTTTTTTGTTAATAGGGAAAAATGAGTCTGGATAGAGGTTGCCTGGCATAGACTTCACTCACCATTTGTAGGCCTCACATCACCCAGTTCTGTTCAGTTTCCTGAGTGTTCGTACTGGTCACCAACAAGCCAGTTTTATTCTGCTGTTTAGTAGTGAAAGCAAGCTCAGCACAAAGAGGGGTGTTGGTGGTTTTGTTTTTTAGCATTTTATTTTCATTCTTCAAAATAAAAAATATTACTAGGATGTGTTTCTGTGAGTATGACTGAGATGATCATATTGAATTCTATACTGAAATCTGTATTTCTGAACCACTGACTTTGTTTTTCTGTTTTCCTTTCCTGCTCACACTTTGGACAGGACAATCTTTGTTCCCCTTCTGACATCCTTCAGCTAAACCTCAGCGTTAAAAGAACTGTTGAAACACTACTTTCTCTTGGGGCACATTCAGAAGAATCCAGTTTTGTCTCTCTGTCTATCCAGCTGTTGGGTTTTGTGGCATTTTATTGTACTTTAATGTTAACTCTCTGTCTGCTTTATTACGGGATCTTCCCCCTCTAGCTGAAAGATTGCACTCCAGTGATTTTCCACCTCATTCCTGTGTTTGGTAAAGGAGGTTTGTTTCTTGTTACCAAGTATTTACATACATGCTTTTTTTTTTTTTTCCTGGCTATCAAACAGCCAACCAGTAAAGGAGATAAATCCTGTCCCCATATGTCCAGATGAACAGTCCATCACATTAGTAAGCATTGATGATTGCTGACAGAGCAAAACACCAGCGTTTTTTCTCCTGGTGATTTGTCCATTCTCCTGGCCTGTGTCCTTTTTCCTCTTATCACAAGTGCTGAGGTGCCTCTGATACAATCCTGCACCTGCTCTTAGAATAAGACTTAGGATATAATATGACGTAATAAAATTCCCAAGTGGCCATTTTTCCAACGTCTTCAACAACTGCTCATAAAGAAAATAGTTGCACCCTCTCCAGTTGAGGAGGCAGCTGGTCACTAAGATCTCTGCATTGAGCTGTGCCCGAAAATCCTGCGGTATCCTGTATTGTGAGGCACAGGTCCACGTAACCATTTGCTGTCTGCACATCTGGAAGCACTGACCATTTAGTCTTAGTAATTTTAATTTGATCAGAACGTGCAGTCCAAAAATCAGGTAGGTTCCTTAGATCGCTATTCTGAGCCCAGTGTGTACATTTAAAATAGTTCACAACAAGCAGATGGTCTGGATCTGACCTTTCAGGAGTAGGCACCTGTCCAGATTTACTGTGTTTGTTATCAATGAACTAGCTTCACCTCTAGAACCCTATTTATAATTTAAATAGAAATTTATGTAATTTACAGTATACTTGAATCATCTTAATAGGTGAACTTGTACTGAATTAGGCTGTTCAGGAGGTTGTATCTGAACAGTAAGAACAGGTAAAGTATCAGGCAGCGGTCTCTGCTCTGTACCCAAGGCAGTGAGTTTTATCGTCTTCAGGATGTCCTAAATATGTAAGCTGCTGGCCTTAATGCTTGAAACTACTTCATGATTGCATTCAGATTCTAGTTCTCATAAATAGGGTTTCTGAACATTCAGGAATCTACTGAACTCAAATATGAAGGGGAATTGCAGGAAACATAACACCTTGTTGTAGAAGTCAGCCTGAGGGTGTGATTGCTTTGGTTTTCTTACATATTAAATGGGACAGTTCTTTAACACATTAAAAAACTGTTTACTATTAATGCTGAAATATTGACCTGACCACTGTGTTGAAAACCAGTTTTATATAGTAGTGGTGCCTTCCAGAGTTTGGAAGGCTTGCTTTGTTCTATTTTTAAGATGTCTCGGAGTCAAAGACCATTCGGTTTTGTGGAGTTTTGTCCCTTTAGAAGATAAAACACGTGGTCTTGTAGGGGGGTAGTTGTACATTCTCTTCAGAGCACACAGCGTTCCCTCCAAGCTGGCTGGCAGGTAAATGCGCATCTGGAAAGCATAAGCCTCTGAGGGAATGTCTAAACCGCAGGCAGCAGTGTGGGGCACTATGGAGAAGGGATCAGGGAATTGGCCTCAGAGAAACTATGCTTCCCCAAGAGCAAAACACCCTGCAGGTTCATTTTAGAATAGTTCATCTGTATTGGCAGTGGTACTCAAAGTATTTATACAGAGTTGGTAGTTTTATAAGGTCAAAAGATTGCAATTACCTTGTTTTATCAGGATAAGTATTAAAGTTTTAAGCACAAGTACCAGTAACTGTTCAAAATAAATGTTATATTTTTTATCGCAACTTATTTTGTAAAACTTCCTAATACAGTAAGTGCCATTGAAAAGTCCAGTTATCTTTTTTAATAAATATGTGTAGTCTCCTTTTTAGTGGGACCAGAATTCTACTTTTTGTCCTTTGTGAGAGCAGTGTCTGTTTTTCTGAATATTTAATCTTAAAAGAAACACCAATGATAGGTGTTATCCTTAAACCCTGCCTTTTTCTCTCTCAAGAAAGGCTTAACCAAACGTTAATGAGGCAAACACAGTAGAAGTTTTTAACTTCCTTAAGCAAACATATGAACACTTTTCAAATATATGGTGATTGAGGTATTCCTGACTAAACTCACATCATAGATCTCCAGCATAATTTAATCCATTAAATACCAAGATATGAAATACTTCCATTTCTTCTATAACACAGCTGGTGGGCATCCTTCCTGCAAGCAGTCTGGCTTCTGGCAGGAAACTATCTTGCATTCCTTTGGTGTATGATTTCCAGAGCACTTTCTCCTACAGTGTCCTATCTGTCAGGCCTGAGCCATCTGGTAACTTGGAACTGCTTTTCCATTTTCTCCACCTCATTTTACTGATCTGCATTGATCTTTTATGTATCAGGAATGAAGGATGTTGCTTTTACTCCATAGTATTTTGTTATCCTCTGTTGTATGTAGAAGTGTATGTAACTTGTCCTTACCCCAGTTTTCAAAATGGTCCGTTTGTACTTTTAGTTGTTTTAATAAAGTGACGGTGTCAGGCACCATCTCTGTGTAACTCCTGTTAACAGAGGCCAGTTTCCCAGACTGACTCTTCATATCTCAGTTGACTATTATGAGGGAGAGAAGAGATGCTTATTTTTTCTTTTTAGTTTGTTGATGTTCATCCTGTTTTCTCTTTTGTTTGTTTTTATGTTACGTCGTTCCATTTCAGGAGCAATTATGTTTGCCTCTCCACATTTTAGAAGAGAAAGGTTTGAGCCAGGTTGCGGTGACGGTCCAGGCTCTCCTGGCACTTGCCCCCCCCAAGCAGCAGCACCCGTCATCTGCTGTGTAAGGACCCCCAGCACCTGGGCGTTGGCCTGGCCAAACCGGAGCAGGACGCGATTGCTGCTGCCAGCCGTCTGCTTAAACAAAGCTCTTAAGTGTTCTTAAAAAGGACTGTTTCCATGATTCCTAACAGGAATATTTTGCTTCATGCCTCCATTTTAGGGGAGGTTATATTCGTTTCCATTGAACTGTTTAGGAAGACACGGTTGGTTTTCACAAACGAAACTTAATTCTGTCATTACTGAGAACGCAACTCTGAAGCCTAAACTGGCTGTGCTTTCCTAGAGAGTAGGCTTGTCTCACATACCAGAAAGAAACTCCTCAAAAGGCTATTTAGCTCCCCTGAAAGCACAGACATGCTATTATCTTTACCTGTTTCCTGTTTCTGGAGTCCTCTGGTTTCCAAAACTGGTTGTTCATTAGAATCTCCTGGAGCATTTGTTAAAATGCAGAGTCTCATTTGGTAGGTCTAAAGCGAGGCCTGGGTATCTGCATTTTCAACAGATGTGGTAGAGACCACTGTCTCAATCTAGATATTTGTATGATGTGGGGAGTAATGACTCCACTCTGTCAGCCACATTTAAAATCAGAAGCTATATATTAAGATTATTTGGACTGTCTGTGCAAGGCAAGACAAAAATAACAGAACTGGGTTTTTTGGACAAAATACTTATGTCCAGGCAGAACAAATATAATGTAGAAGGCCTAGATTTTTATGTAGTAAAACCATTTCAGAGTTAAGTTGTATATAAGGCCAGAGTCATAGGCCACCCCCCTACGCAGACTGGCCGCCACCACTTAAAGCTTGGTTCTGTGTGACATCCTGCTATTCTCCACGCTTTATAAACAGCACCCTCCACACAGGTTCCAAATCCTTAGGCTGGTAACAGGCACTACTCACCATTTGCATTGAGCCCTCCCATCCTCTTCCCCCCATGCTGCTCCCGGGATACCTGGACCTGCACACACCTTCCACCCACAGCAGAATACACTTCCGGCTCCCTGACTAATGGAAGATTATGAAAACAAAGCAAAGGAAATAAAGGAAAAACCAAGTTTCTTAATTTCTTTCAGGTAACAGCTGGTTTCCGTGGCTGAATCAAGCCAGTTTCCGTGGCTGAATCAAGCCACCTGTGGCATCTTAAAAAACAGCGTGCTGTGTATCTAGTTCATCTAACTCTACCACTCGTGCCTTCTTTACTCAATCATGGGCCAAGTGAAAGGGCCCAAGATCTCATGTAACAAAGCTGGGAGCCTTTGTTCAGGTTTAAGCCACTAGGGTCTTTCTTACCCTGTATTTTGAACCCCTTTTAGTTGTCAGCATATCTTTTGGTATTCACTGCCTTTATAAACCGGGTAAATAGACTTAGTGAAGATACTAGTTATCCGGGGTTGTGAATTGTTCTGGATTTACTTTACCAATGCATGCATTTGAGCAAAATGTTCTCTATCACGTGAATGCAGCATCTAAAAGGAAAATCATGGAGTATCCGGTCAAAATAATGTTTTCTCCCTGTTCTCACAGGGAAACAAATTCAGCAGAACATTACCACTTTGTCCAAGTTTAATATTAAAGAACATAAAGCATCTGAGCTCAAAACCCAGTCCTTCACTGTTCTTACAGAACAAAAGTAAAATGTCTTTTAAGTGTTTAGAGCCAGACCCCATTATATTTACAGTTCCAAACATACCCACCAATTGGGACTTGTTTAGAATTTGTGTGCATTTTTACACTATAGGTATTTATCCTAGTCAACATTAAACCTCAGTACAATCTCTGAATAATAGAAGTCATTTGAAACTCAGCAAAGAACAGGACTGTTTTGTCACCTACTATGCAAGAATAACCCCAGAAGACATACATAATACAACATTTGGGACATTTGCAACTAATTATCCCATATGAATAAATGGAAATTTCCACTTATTTCACATTTCACACATAACGTGAAACCTTATTAATGTATTCTTATCAAACTAATTCAAATTTATATTTGAATTGCTAGAAAAAAATTGTGTACAGTTTTGGTTGATAATGAAAGAAAAATATCAAGCATATTGAATTTCTTTCCTTTGTCAAGATGCAGAAACATTTCATGATGGTTTTGTTGAAAAATTTTTGTATTCAGTGTTTTGTATGTACTTAAAAAAAACTGGAAAGAAAATTTCACATTTAGCCTTGCTAGACTGCAGTGTAAGATGAAGATGATGTTGTAACGGTTCCACCTGACCATTTGTGAGCTTCCTACTGAAGCGGTGACCAGCCCAGTGCTTGAAGTGTGAACAGAGAAAAGGCTAAAGTGCCCGCCCAGCAGGGCCCCTGCCAGCTACGGACATCGTAAGTCAGCCAGGTCTCTGGAAATAACTTATGGGCGGAGAGGCCTTTGTATTTAGCTAGAACAGAGTAAGGGGCTTCTTAGCAGGTCACTTTCTTTAATAGCTTTTTAAAATACAGCCTTACAGCTAATCGAGGAGTCTGATTTCTCTTACTTGCTACAGCTCAGCAGTGACTAATGATGTGTGACTGTGCTGACGAGTATGATGAATTTTTAACAACTAAGCGCTTAAAATCGTTATAGAAATGAAGGAAAACATGGATATTTAGAACCCTTTTTATATAAGTATTGCAGTGAGATGGTTTACAGCAGATTTCATTTTGTTTCTGAAAATGTTGTAAACATGTAATTAGTGAAAGATTTTGTAAAACATTGTCCTATATTTGTGTGTCTGTAAATATAATGCATAAGTTCTAAGTATAAATATGTCAATATCATGTATGTTATTTTAAATTGCCTGTATGCCACCTTACACGTTGACATTAAAATAAAAGCCAACACTTCAATAGCGTGAAATAAAGGCTGATTTGAAAATGTTCATACCTGGGGCGCCTGGGTGGCGCAGTCGGTTAAACGTCCGACTTCAACCAGGTCACGATCTCGCGGTCCAGGAGTTCGAGCCCCGCGTCAGGCTCTGGGCTGATGGCTCAGAGCCTGGAGCCTGTTTCCGATTCTGTGTCTCCCTCTCTCTCTGCCCCTCCCCCGTTCATGCTCTGTCTCTCTCTGTCCCAAAAATAAATAAACGTTGAAAAAAAAAAATTAAAAAAAAAAAAAAAGAAAATGTTCATACCTAAAGCATGATTTCCTTGGCTAAAATGAAAGGGTATTTAATTCCCCGAAGGAACATCAGTAGAAACTGGGTCCTCATAACAGGCCCTTGAGATCAGTTTGTTTGTTTGTTTGTTTGTTTGTTTGTTTTACTCTAAGGAAGTACAGATATCAGTATTTCCCTATATTTGGAATCACATATAAGGCTTAATTCATGAAATACATGTGATATTTGGACACTTTTCTCTCATAAATTACCAACTATGCTGTAGGGAAAGCTTTAGCACCCCAAGACATTCTGATTGGATTATCCTTACTGTTTTAGTCTTAATATCCTGCAAGGTGAAAATTGTTGAGGAAGCAAAGCAGGCATAGACCCTGGTGTCTCATGATCGAAAATCTCTCCAAGCTAGTCTTCCAGCAGGCCTGTGTCCCCCAACTTTACTGTGTGTGGGTTGTACACCCTAACATCTCGTATCTGTTTATTCTAATTCATTATTTATCTTTTTAATTTATAATTTATATCCCTACCTATTTCCCAGAAAAGGAACTGAAGCAGCTTATAGTAAGATACATATTCCATGCTGCCACCACCCCAACAAAAACACTAAAGTGATAACAAATCTAAAAGGCAGAAAGGAACCAACCTGTGGAACTTCACTGTGTCTATATTATGCTAGACACTTTATAAGCATCGTCTTGGAATTCTGACTGAACACTTTTGCTCATAAAGAGTTTTTTCACTGTAGACAAATGATAGAATCAGGAACATTACAGAAATTACTGGAGTTTTAATGCATCACAATAACTAAGCCCTTGACTTTTTTCTAGTAAGAAAGAGCAAGAAGAATCTTCATAAGCCTCCTAGAAATACTTCCCACCAAAAGTTTCTCAAAAGAAGCCCTAAGTCAACAGTATAGTCCTAATTCAGGGTTTGCAAACTAATACAACAGGCAAAGTGAAAACACCAGGCAGCACCTGGAAATGTCCAAATAAGAAACAACCTGTAGATGAGTTCTCTGCGCTGGTAAAATGTTTTCAAGTCCACCTTCCCAGCTCCAGAATACCAGAGGAAAAGGCAAGAGAATGTCACTTTTTCTTGCCTCTCCGCTTGTTCTTGTCTTTGCCTTTACCTTTGGAATCCTTGATATCATCTTTGTCCTTCTTAGGCATTTTGAAACCACCAAGTTCCCTCCGTACCATAGTGCCTCGCCACCAGGCCTGGAGCTAGAAGAGAAAGGGGGAGTGAGTACAATTTATAGCTTGCCTGATAAGCTGCATCCTTTCTGCAGAAGGGAGTTGTTTTTTCCTAAGGTTACTTCTGTCTGAAGAACGGTGTCTGTCTGAAACATGGAAGCGGCCATGCCTGCTGTACCTACAGCAATGCTGCCCTGCGGTGCAGGACCCAGAGCTTAAGCCACAGAATCTAAAGTTCTCAAGGACTGAAAATAAAGAAAAGGAATCTGATAAGGCCAGTCTTTTCCTTTACACTTAAAAACCTGACTCCCTTGTACTGTTTCTCTTTATGAACGGCCAAGTTCCCCACATCTAAACCATTTGATCCAACAGGGATGTTAGCTGGGACACAGGCAAAAGTAAGCATTCAGTCAAAAACGTACAGATAATTTAGATGGCTTCAATAGGCTCCCTGGTGCATTTCTTGGCTTCAGTGATTGATTAAAGGATTGATTAAGGGATCCTCTTCCAAAAAGGATCTCGATAGCTCTCTTGAATATTTTAGTCATAGACACAACTGTTCTGAATACAGTCTGCGCTACTTCAAAATCAGACTAAGCCCTAAAAACTGGAAGCAAATCCATTAGTGAAAACAAAGGTGGTCTTCAGCTAGTCTTTACATTTTTGCTGTAAATCAAGGAATCCTGCCAAATAGGAAACACCATAGAAGCTCAATAAATCCTTGCTAACTGTACATCTGACACTCTCCTAATGGAAAGCTCGTATTTGGGTTTGGATGCCTGGTTCTGAATGTACTTTAAAGCTTACTTTCTTATCTACCCCATAATATACATCACAAACTACTGTTTACACACTGTAGGATCTCTCTCAGCAGACACACTTCTTTCAGAGAGCAGGGCAATCCTCTCAACAACAGTTTGGATCCAGCTGATGTTATTTTTGCTTGAAAATATTCCCCAGAATCTGACCTACCAGTTTCAACATCACTAATATTCACAAGTCCATATAAAACTAATGTTAATCTTTTTTTTCTAAACTGCTCTTTATTCCCTATACCTTTTTTGAAAATAGCTCATCAGAACCTAGAAGATAGGCTGGGCTAATTTCTATAAATAGAATTTTAAGAAGCTCCTCTAGGGGCACCTGGCTGGCTCAATCAGTAGAGCATGTGACTCTTGATCTTCAGGTCTTGAGTTCAAGCCCCACACTGCGGGCAGAGCTTACCTGAAAAAATAAATTTAAAAAAGAAGAAGAACAAGAGGCTCCTCCAAGAGCTGTTTCGATTATTAATAGTATTCTTAAATTTGACCTCTGGGCACAAGTTCTAGCTCCAGCTTCCCCTGCTAACCACCACTTTCCTCCCTGATTAAGAGGCGGGGATGTGTCCTTTGCTATGTTAGCTCTCTCCCTGCACCGAGGACTATAGTCAAATTCCAATAATAACAAAAAGCCATGCTTCCTTATAGATCTCCCATCCATGCTTCATAACAAAGGAGAGATACTTTGTGTTCCTCAGTGTTAGGCCAGCTATGGGATTGAAGGTGCCCTAAGATGTCAGTTCTGGCTTTCTACCTGTAAGACGCTCTTGAGTTCCAAGTGATCCTGTTCTATCTTCTTCCTGGTCTTCTCCTTTTCTATCCGATCTTCAATGATGACCTGTTCAAACTCCCTTATCTATAAAAGTAGACATTAATCGTAGGTTATAAGACTGTCTTGGCAAGGTGTGGCCCAGCCAGCCCTGCACTTTTAATATAAAATTTGAACATAAAGCTTGCCAAATCTAAAGATAAACCAAAGAAAAAAAAGTTTACTGGATTCCTAAATGGTAAATACTCGTATATTAACTTTATAATTGTACCCCCCCCCATTTTTTTCAGTTTGAATAATTCAAATTTGCATAGTCTTGCATAAAAATGAAATACTAACTTGGTGTGTGATTAGTGACCTCAAAATAATGTAATTTTTTTAGCTCCTAGAATGTATGCATACAAATAGCAGCAGCCACCTTTTAAAAGAGAAATTTGGGAAATTTTACATTTATTCAATGATGAAACCATAATCAGAGCTTTTTAAAAATCATAATTTACAGATTATCTTCAGAGACCATAAAATAGAAATGATAAATTAGTATCTATCTCAAGAGGTTGTTGTGAGCATTAAATAGTTTATAAATGTGAAATACTAGTAAAGTGCCTGGGACAGAGCAAGCACCATGTAAGTGTTAGCTGCTGCCAACACTGTCCCCATCATCGATGTTGTTACCATCATCATCACAGGATAGCCTCTCAGTGATTTACAGGCACACCTCCACTTTGTCACCAGAAACAGCAGTACCCACCTACTATAGCTCGGCTACCACCCACTCCTTGGTGCTCAGTCTTACACTATCGAGACTGTTTCCTTACCATTTTTGCAAGGTCTTGAAGGTGTGCTAAGTCACTGGCCTTAGCAGATTTGAGAGCATTTAGTTCATTCTGTTTCATTTCTGTGTCCTTATCAAATTTCTCCATCCAGAACTCTAGCTTCTCCTCAAGTTTCTGTTTGGAAAGAACATTAAAACATGGCTCCCACCAGGCACAAAACCTTATATACTGTATGAAATCATTTATATAAGGTTCAAGAACAGGCAAAACTTTTCTCTCGTGATAAAAGTCAGAATCGTGGCTCCTTCTAGGGGTGGCTTGCTTTATTTGATTGGGAAGGGGGCACGAGGGAAATTTCTGGAATGTTGTAAATGTGCTTATCTGGGTGGTGGTGGTTCCAGGAGTTTATATATGTAAATGCTCATCAAACTATATGCTTAATATTTGTATATTTAATATGATTACTCAATTTAAAAACAGGGGGAAGAGGCCCTTCCAGGTGTCTGGATGAGGGAAATTGGAAAGGAATAAAAGATAGGTAGAAAATTCTGAAGGATAAGGGATGGCATCAGACATCTCTTTGATTAATAACAGTAAATACCAGTTGGGAAGGGTACAATGTCTTCAGATTCCTAAAAACTAATCAATGTGAATCTAAGATTCTATAACCTAGCCAACCTTGCATTCAAATGTGACAGAAAGAAAGAACATAACTGGTCTTTCTAAAAGAGTTGCTCAAGAGTATATTTTAGCCAAGTAAAATGAAAGAGATAGTATGTGGGAGAAACAATAAAATGTATATTTAAGCTACATAATATACTTTTTAAAATTAAATCATAATCTGTAACTAAAATCCCAAATTAGGCAGTGTAGTCTCATGGAAGGAGCACAGACAGGTTCTGAAGGCAGACTGCCTAGGTTCAGCTCCCAACTCTGGCACTCAAATAAGTTAAATTCTCTAAAGCTTCACTTCTCTCATTTGTAGAAAGGAAACATATAAGGAATGATTTCACCATGGGACATAGAAGAGGAAAAGAAGAGGTAAGTGAAAGCTTTGCTTTAATAAAGACAAGAAGATACAGATATTAACTAGACTTAAGAAGAAGAGTAAAGTATAAATATGTATGTTCAAATGCTAAGGGTTACCACTCCAAGCACAGAATGTATAACTTCCAAACCCCTAGGTCACATACTTGAAGTACCTCAAGAAGGAGACTTTAGGTGGTACACTTACATGGGATTTTTAAAAAATATGATTCAACTAATCATTCTGATTAAGTTAAAGAGAACATACCAGTTTGATGCAGTCATGTCTTTAACATCTTTCAAACTCTTGTTAACACATTTTTTAAAGTTTATTTTGAGAGAGAGAGGGAGAGAGACAGGGAGGGGCAGAGAGAGGGAGAGAGAGAATCCCAAGCAGGCTCCGCACTGTCAGCAGAGAGCCTGACTGGGGCTCTAACTCGAACCATGAGATTGTGACCTGAGCCAAAATTAAGAGTTGGAGCCTAACTGACTGAGCCACCCAGGTGCCCCAGTTTTTTTCTAAGTTTTTTGTTTTGTTTTGTTTCGTTTTTTGAGAGAGAGTGAGCGTGGAGGGCAGAAAGGAAATCCCAAGCAGGCTCAACGCTGCCAGCCAAGCCCAGGGCTTGATCTTATGAACCGTGAGATCATGACCTGTGCTGATACCAAGAGTTTGACGCTTAACTGACTGAGCTGCCCAGGTGCCCCTTTTTCTTTTTTTAACAAAAAGAGAAGAGTCTCCAGGCAGGCAAGAAAAACTGGTTAAAATGTAATCACATCATTTGGTATTTATTGTACTTCTATTTATTTTGATTTCTACTTGCGACAAATGGTACTGGTTTTTCTTTCATAGTAATAATACAAAAATCTTAATTGAAAATAAATTGATATAGTTGTTTAGGTGAGTAATTATGTACAAAACAGTACAACACAGGTGGTATGCAGATATTATGAAACTGTGAAAATGGTGTGCAAATAACAAGTTTGCACTAGAGAGCAAGAAATTGAACAATAAAAATGCCATGATTCCAACAAAAGGAAAGAAACAACAAAGCTTGAAAAGCAGGGAACAGAGGATGGAAACAGTAAGTAGAAACAAATGAAAAATTACAATAAAAACAAATTGAGGTAAATTTCCCTATCAAAATAGGAGATTTTTAAAAATCAATCTATGAAGTATTTATAAAAACCACAGCTAAAACTATATAATCAAAGCAAAAAGAATGCAGGTTTGGCAGTTAATATCTGGCAAAACAGAACTCAAGCCAAAAATATTAAATAAGAGAAAAACATTTTATACTGAGAAAAACATGCTCTATTATTACTGTTATGAAGTTTTATACTCATGCCATTTTGGAATATATAAAGCAAACATTATTAGAAATATAAGAAATCGACAGGTCCACAATGATCTTAGGAGACTGTCACACTTCTCTGAAATTAATAGCCCAAGTAAATCAAAATAATAATATGAAGAATTTGACAGACTGTTAGACATTTATACAAAACTTGTACCTAACAAAGAATACACATTCTTTTCAAATACCCATGGAATATTCATGTAACTTGAGCATATATTAAGCCTAAATAAGGGCTCAACAGATTCCAGCAGGCACGAATCTTACGTTTTACATTCTGAGACCACAACGGAAGACAGTAGGAGTGTAGACCTCAAAGTGTTGCCGTAAGCAATAGAAAGACAGCCTAGGGGCACCTGGGTGGCTCAGTCAGTTAAGCAACCAACTTGATTTCTACTCTTGCTTTTGGCTCAGGTCATGATCTCAGGGTCATGAGATCAAGCCCCCCATAGGGCTCTGCGCTGACAGTGCAGAGCCTGCTTAGGATTCTCTCACGCGCCCTTTCTCTGCCCCTCCCCCACGCTCTCTCTCTCAAAATAAACTTTAAAAAATGTGTTAACAAGGGTTAGAAAGATGTTAAAGACAGACATGACTGCATCAAACTGCTATGTTCTGCCTGCTTGGGATTCTCCCCCTGCCCAGCCCCTCTGCCACTCATGCATGCTCTCTCTCAAAGTGAACTTCAAAAAAAAAAAAAAGAAATACACTTTTAAATAACTCATGGGTTAAGGAAATAACAAATTATAATGCCTATAATTTATTTAAAGGCGTGAAAAAGGTAAGGTGGATTAATGGAGGAAGGATGTATAGATCTGTGATGAAGCAAGAAAAAAATGTTAATGGTAGAATCTACCACTATTGAGTGGTCACTGTAGAATTCTTTTAACTCTGTGTATGTTTGGAAATACTAATAATAAAATGTTGGGGAGAAATAAATAAATTAAAAATTATTTAGAAGGGAAGGGGCACCTGGGTGGCTCAATTAGGTGAGTATCCAACTCTTGATTTCGGCTCAGGTCATGATCTCTTGGGGTCTGTGAGATCGAGCCCTGCATCTGCCTTTGTGCTGACAGCACGGAGCCTACTTGGGACTCTCTCTATACCTTTATCCCTGCTCCTGCCCCACTCGTGCTCATGCACGTTCTATTTCTCTCTCAAAATAAATAAACACTTAAAAAAATTATTTGGAAAAAAATGACAACGTAAGCATTATGTATCAAAACCTGTATACTGCAGCCAAACAGTAGTCAGAAAATATGTTGGGTTACATGCGTATAGTAGAAAATAATAAAATTTGAAAATAGGTGAATTGAGCTTTTAAGAAACTAGAAAAGATTAGCAACATAAGCTCGAAAGAAGTATAAGAAAATAATTACTGAAAATTAAAGCAAAAACCACTGTGAAAGGGAAAAGATTTGCTCGATAAAGCCAAAAGATAGTTTTTGTGAAGACCAATAAAATGGTCAAAAGTTTGACAAATCTCAGCAAGAAAAAGGGAGAAAAGGTACAATTTTTTAAAAATAAAGATGAAAATGATAACTATAGAAATAAAGGAAAATTTTAAATTGTAAGAGACTTTGGAGCATATTTTTATACTAATAAATTTGAAATGAATGTTTAGATAAAACAAATCATTTCTAGGAAGGCATAAGTTACCAAAAATGACTCAAAAAGAGACTCTTTACGTGAAAACATCAATAAACATCTAAAAAATTTAAAAAGCTAAAGAAAAAGATTGGTCTCAGAGGTCTGAAATAGCCTCTCTAAGCCAGCCTCAGTCTGTATGGTCCAACTTGTATCCCCTATTTTCCTGCTATGTTCTCTGCCCTTAAATCCGCTTCGTGGGAACACCCTACTGAGAATGAACCAACAGTAGTAATCCTTATAATCGTATCTGTAAAATGAGGAAGCGATGTTTGTGTCTTACAGATGTATCCATGCTTCAATTTGCTGGGAAGTTATTTCAATAAGAATACCAAAAAACATTCCTGTTGAACTCTATAATCTTTAAAAATGCAGCTTTTTAAATTTGACTCTAAGTGTGATTTCTCTTTCCTTATTCTTCAGGCCTCTCTCTCACATTTTGCTGTCAGTGTCAGTAAAAATTCTTGCAGAGAAAATGCTTGTTAAAAAATAAATGGATTCAATAGCAAAAAAAAAAAAAAAAAAAAAAAAAAAAAAAAAAAAAAAAAAGTAGCCAAACTTCTCCCCTTGAAGATGATACCCAGACAAGACTGTCTACGACTAAAGTTTACCAAAGTTTGAAGGAACAGATAATAATCTATTTGCTTTATTTATATTTTTAGGTTTCAGAGCATAAAAAGATAGAAAGCTTCCCAACTCAAGCTGCTAAACTAGCATAACTGATAGCAACATAAAGAACACCAAAAAATAAATCCAAAGGTCAACCTTGTTTATGGAATATATAAATACAAAATAAAAATCTACAAATCAATCTAGCAGTCTGGTAAAAGAATAATATATTAAGAACAAGTAGGGTTTAACTCAAGAACTTATTTATTTTTTAAAAGAAATTTTTTATGTTATTTTTGAGAGAGAGAGAGAGAGAGAGAGAGAGTGTGTGTGTGTGTGTGTGTGTGTGTGTCTGTGTCTGTGTGTGAACGGAGGAAGAGGCAGAGAGAGAGGGAGACACAATCTGAAGCAGGCTCCAGGCTCCAAGCTGTCAGCACAGAGCCCAACGGGGCTCAAACTCATGAATTGCAAGATCATGACCTGAGCAAAAGTTGGATGTTTAACTAACTGAGCCACCCAGGTGCCCCTATCCCAAGAATTTAAAAATGACTCAACATCAATAAATCTATTAATATATTTTACTTTATTAAAAAATTAAAAGCCCGTATCATCTCAATGGATGAAAAAAATCCATCTCATAAAACTTGAATACTCATTCTAGATTAAAAAACAAACAAACTCAGCAAGACCAAAAGGAAACTTCCTTAACTTGATAAACGTTTATCTACCATAAGCCTACAGGGTACACTTCATACAATCCCCATTCATGCCAGTTATCAATTTATTGCCTCTCAACTCTAAAATGCATCCTTCACCAGCCAGTTTTGTCAACCTGGATGCTTGCTGTAAACAGTTCTCTTTTGCCAGCTGGCATAATGCTAAATTTTGTCAGTAGAGGTCGCTGGAGGGACATGAGGGAGGGAGCTGCTCCTTGATTCCACTGTGCTTCATCGTTGTTCCTGGGGCAGGGCTGGCAGTAGCATGTGCGTGGGACATTTATGCCACTTGTTCACCAACAAGTTTTGTTGGTACAACAGGAGGATTCTTGCTTACCAATCAGTCCACAGTTCCTGCTTGCCAGGTTTATCCCACTAGCTATGATCCTGCTCGGACCCCAGGCAACAAAGCAAACATCTCTGTTTATTTCTTCCTTGGATACTGTCCTTCAGCCCTAAGATGTTCTTTAGAGTTCTCTTTTATCCTTTCTTTGTAGCCAGTCCCTTATTATCAGTTAATGATTCTTTTGTTAAGTGTTCCCTGCTGAAATGACTGCTGTGGTTTCTGTCACCTAACTGAACCATGTTACAAAATTGGTACCAAAAATAGTTTCTCTCCCACCTTCTCATTCATATGTCTTACTAAGGCATCCAAAGTCCTTGCCAATTCCTGTTCATCAGATACAATCAACATAACACAGTGGACAACTACAGTGCTTTATAGAAAGTCAAAGCAAGCAGTATCTCTGCAGACCACATTATAGCAGAGAACAGGAGAACTGACATGGCCCTGATGTGAGCCTGTGAGGGTGTACTGTTGGCCCTGCCAGGTAAAAGCAAATTACTTCCGGAGGTTTTTTCACACTGGTTTAGAGGCAAAGGCTTTGTTCAAGTTAAGGTTAAGTATTTAGGTACATACACAAGTATGTATATGAAAGAAAAAGATGTGGAAGAAATCTTGGAATGAGGAGTGATTAAGAGAGCTTTCACTTTTTAAAATCTATGTTTCAAATTTTATTTACTTTTTTAAATATTTATTCATTTAGAGAGCGTGAGCAGGGGAGGGGCAGTGAGGATCCCAAGCAGTCTCTGTGCTATCAGCTCAGAGCCTGACACAGGGCTTGAACCCACGACCTGTAGCATCATGACCTGAACCGAAATCAAGAGTTGGACACAACCAACTGAGCCACCCAGGTGACCCTGTGCTGTTTCAAATTTTAATTGAAAAGTATTTATATATTACTTGTGTTATTGGGCTGAATATCTAGGAAACACTGACTTCATCCATCCATTATCCATCTATCCACCAACTCATCTGATTATTAAACACGTGCTAGCTATGCATCTAAGAGTTGAACAGGTAACATGACACATAATCTTTTTTGTTTTGTTTTGTTTTTTGAGAGAGAAAGAGAAAGAGGGGGGAGAGAGAGAGATCCATATTCTTTTTTTTTTTTTT